CGATTAGAATACTCGGAACATAATCCGGACCCAAACCTAATACTCAAATAATTGGACTCAACTTCAAATAAATGGGTCGGGTCCGGGTCGAGTCTCGAGTTTACGCTAACCTATTGTCATCCCTATAAAATTATTGATACATTTTCAATTTATATTAATTATAAATGAGAGGTTTAATTTATCAAAATAAATAAATCCATAGGGGACATTTAGAATATAAAAAATCCAAATATTTCCACTCATATAAAAAACAAACAAGATATGAGAAATATAAATCCCACGTATTTTTACCAACCAAACATATGATAGGATTCCAAATCCTAAATATAATAAATCTCATCACATATAAATCCTGGTGTGAAATCTCAATCCCACAAAAAAAAAAATCGATGATTCAAGGATTTAATGGGATTCCATGGGATTTGGATTTTAAAATCCCATGAAATCCATGTTTGGTTAAAAAAAAGAAGGTGGAATTTAAAATGATGGGATTTGAAAAAGAGGTCTAAAATCCTACAAATAAGGGATTTTTTTTGTAACGGTGTACCCTGTTACTTTTAAATCCTATTCTTAGAATTTTAATTTTTACATTTATATCCTCTTATAAAAAAAATAATAATATTATATTTATATAAAAAAACTAAATAATTTTAAAATTAATTATTATTTGAATTATATATTTAATTAAATTTATATTCTTTTTTATTGTACAATATTTTTTAAATAAATTAATAAATTTATTGTTTAAATTATTATTTATTATAAATTTTATTTGAATTATAAAATTATAGGGACGATCATAAGTCGGGTTCAGTCGGAACTGATATTCATTCAAAATATATATTGTTAAATCCTAGATTCAAATTGGATCCGATTATACTAGATCCGACCGAGACTATACCCGGTAAGACTTGATGGTTCCGAAAAATTCATGTTTTTTTACAATTCTTAAATTTTAATTTAAAATTACACATGTACCAGATCCAATGTATATTAAAATTTATTTATTATATTAGAAAATATTATAATAAAATAATGAATACGTTAAACTTAAAAAATATTTTTAATATAATTATATTATTCGAAATTATTTTTTCATATGTATGATTGATATATTATTATTATATTACCCTGATTATGACCCGGATCCAGACCTAATACTCAAATAATTGGACTTAACTTCAAATAAATAGGTCGGGCTCGGTCGGGTCTCGAGTTTACGCGAATTTATTGTCATTCTATAAAATTATTGAAATATTTTCAATTTGTATTAATAATGAATTAGAGGTTTAATTTGTCAAAATATATAAAATTCATAAGAGGACAATTATGTCATTTAGAATATAAAAAATCCAAATCCACGAAATATAAATCCCACCACATTTTATCAACCAAACATAATATGGGATTCCAAATCCTAAATATAATAAATCCCATCACATATAAATCCTACTGTGAAATTCCAATTCCACCAAAAAAATCCATGAATCAAATAGCCCCTAAGAGTAATTTTTTTTCACCACAGACCAATATAATACTAATATTAAAAAATTTACATGCAATCGACAAATGTTACCCATGTTATTGAACGAGGGTAGTAGTATAATAGTATGATACTAATATAATAAATTTTCTTTAAGGGTGTGTTTGTTTGGAGGATTGGATTTAAATTCAACTATTCATTCATTTTTTTTTTCCAAAAAATATTAAATCAACACATATTTTTCATTTAATTTATTATACTAAAAATTAATTTTACATTCAAAACATTACATCAACACCTATTTATATCACATCGTACAACTATTCAAATTTAAAATGAGGTAGTAGTATAATATGATAATATAATAAATTTTCTTTAAATAAGTTGTTAATATTTTTTAATGAATATCAATAAAAATATAATATATACACATATTCACAAAATATAAATATTTTTTTTCATATAAAAATTTAATTGTCACATATATTCTTTTTATATTAGCAATCTCACAAAATAAATACAGCCATTGTTTTTAAGGCGGTGATATTTGAATATATAATAATAACAAGAAGTTATGATATATGTTACTGACTTTTATTAAGGGGTATTGTGAATATATATATATTTTTTTTAAAAACATATATGATTAAGAAAAATTAAATATGTATTTAAATATTTTAAAAATTATATTTCAATAAAATATATATAATATAAATATATATTTTTAGAGAATAAATATTTTATATAATAAAAATAAACAAAATTATATATTTATTTATTCATGATTAACATAAACTAATTTTATATTATCTATATAAAAAAATAAATGTAGATAAAATTGTTTATTTACCTATAAGATATATAAAAAATAAAAAATTTTGAGTGAGTCATACATGATATTATATGTTATAAAATGAATTAAATTGATTATATTTAAACTAGTAAAATTTACCAAATATATAAAGATATTATTTGTAATAAACAGACTAAAATAGAAATAATATTGTTTATTATGAAACAAATAACGTACTATTTGTACAAACACATTTTTTTTTTTGGGGGATTTAATTATCTTAGGGTGTGTTTGTTTGGGGGATTTAATAAGATTTCTACTATTCATCCAATTTTTTCCCCCCAAAAACATCAAATCAAATACCTATTTTTCATTTTTTATATTATACTAAAAATCAATTTTACATTCAAAACATCACATCAACACCTATTTATATCACATCATACAACTATTCAAATTCAAAATTTTTACTATTCAAATCCCAACTCAAAATCCAAACCCCCAAACAAACACACCCTTAGGAAATTTATTTATTTTAGTCCTCCAAATTAGAGAGGGCAATGTGACAAGCAAAATTTGGATTCTGACTTCACACCATCAGACCATTTTATGGGACAAATTATTAAGGGTTTGTTAGGTTGCAACTGCAATTCAATTTTTTTACTTTATAGTACTACCTCCGTTCCAAAATTATACTCTGGATTGTGTTTAACACGAGATTTAAGGAATATTGTTATTATATTAACAGTGGGTAAAAAATACGGATAAAAGACTTTTTTGCCATTGTGAATGTATTAGTGTAAAAAATAGTGACAATTGTATAATAATAATAATGAAAGAATAATGGTAGTTTTATAGTGATATGATTATTTATGGAAACAAGACTATTATTTTGAAATAAAAAAAAAAATAATAAATAAAACTACTGTATTGAGAGTGAGAGAGTACTATTTTCTCATAACATCCCGCCCAAAGCTTTTTCTTTTTATCCCTTTCATTCCGAGAACGGGGGCTGCTCTTGTAGTGCCCACAGAGCTGAGATTTGCAGTTTTATTGTTGTGTTTGTTTTGTATTTTCTTTTTTAAAAAAAATAAATTAAAATACACATATAATAATTTAGTTAATATTTATAATAATTATAGAATAAAAAATATATATACATATATATCATTTTTGTAGAGAATAAAATTTTTTATAATAAAAAAAAATTTAAATATATATATGTTAGATATAATATAAATTTATAATCAAATCATACAATTACAAATTTTAATCATTTAAATTTAATACACATTTATATTATTATATTTATTACCTATCAAATCAATATATATCAAAACTTTCCAAATTCAAACCAAACTTAAACACAGAACAAACACAAAAACTCAAATCTATCTTAAAATTCAAATAAAATCCCAAATTTTCTTTATCCGGCCTAAAGAAACACACCCTTGATTATTATAGTGTTTTAGAAATAATGAGATTTTTCTAGTTATTCAAAATTATGAAAATATATTGGGGAATTATAATCTTATTTTGTATGAAGTAATTTTTTACTACCTTTCACCCCACTTAAATTATTTTATTTTGCTTAATCACATGATTAAGTATTGTATAATTAGTAAGTAATTAAGAAATATATTAATAAAAATAATTATAATTTAATACAATTATAAATTAAAACGATTAAATAGTTTAATTAAAATAAAAAATTATAAATTATAAATTTTAAAATATGATTAAAGTGTATAATTATATTTTTTTTAAAAAAAACAAATAATGTGTGATGTACTAAGATAAAAAGAATGAAAAAATTAAATTGAACAAAATATTATTTACTATTATATATTTTATAACAAAAATAGTATTGTATTTTTATTAAAAAAGTATAAATAAAATCATTTTCATTGAAAAATATATAATATCTAAATGAACAATTTGTGTTTTCGCGGCGTGATTCTCTATAAATATTATAACAAAATATAATATATGTACATATATTAAAGTAGTAAATATAATAATTTTATCTTAATTTCTATATTAACAATATAAATTTTTATACTTAATATAAAAAATTACATTTACCCAAAAACACCAATATTGTGTTCTTTGGTGCATTTTCACTTATTTTTTTATTATTTAGTTCCTCTTTTTCTTCTAATTCTAATATACACAAATTTCATAAAATAATGAATATTTTGTTTTTTGTTTTGTTTGTTTGTTTTTTTTAAGGGTGTTTAACAATAATTAGTCGATAATTTTTAATTGTTAGTGGATTTGATTAGTTGTTACATTTTAACTGATTTAATTAGATGATTTGAATAGTTGATTCAATTAGTATTTGATATTAAAATATTTGGTAAAAAACTGTTCTGTGTTAACCATGTATATATTAGTGTATTTCTTTTGATGAGTTTGAAAACAAATTAGTTTGGATTTAATATAAAAATAATATTTATTGAAATATAAAAAAAAACTATTTTTTTTAAAAATATAGTTTTAAAATAATAAAATTTAGATAAATTTTGTTAAAAAAACATACCATATAATCTTTTATATCATTCCCACATGCTAATATTATTTTAATTATTTTTAATTTATTTTTATTATATTTTAATATAGTACTAATATTTTTTAAATTTTAAATGAATATATAATTACGAAAGTAAGGAAGAAATACAAATAAAATAAAATAAAGCAAATAAAATAAAACCCAAAAACAAACCCTAAACTCTACACCGACCGCCCTATGCATTTTCTTCCTCTTTTCAAATTTTCTCATTTCTTCTTCGTCTTCGTTTCTTCCTTCGTCTTCTCCCCTCCACCGCCGCCATCCGCTCGAATATCTGGTTTTCCTTATTTTCCATGCTTTCTGGTCCGGTGCTTCCACTGTAGATCACAGCCGGAATGGAGTCTTGACGCCGGAAACCTGTCGGGTGAAATCGGGAACTGCTTCCCTGCTGAAACACATCCGCGAATAGCTGGCCGGAATCGCGACGGGAAACGGAAGAAGATGATAGCTATATATATGTGCTTCTAAGGGTAGTTTTGTCATTTCGTGCATTTCACGTCCGTACAACACAAACCCACCCACTTTTTCCGATCAACGCTGCGGCGTTGCTCCGCCCCCGCCCGCCCTAATGCCGTCGTTCCCGCAGCCAGGCTCAGTCACTATCTGCGAAATCAACCGCCAGCTTGGTTTGAATCGCCTTTAAAAACCCTGTTTCTTCGTGAGTTGGGTGATTTTTCTGATTCTGGTTTTTGAGTTTTGATTTCTGTTCAATCTGTTATGCGCAGTCACGGCGGACCAGCTCAGTGACGACCAGGCCAGGGAGACGTACGCCAAAGTTCTGGTACTCTCTAGTTCCCTTTGCATGTTCTTATTCATTTGTATGATTTTCTTCTGTAATTTCTTAAATTACGAAATTGTAATGAGTTAGTCGATGGATTTGTAGGGAACCATATTCAGCCCCGTTTCATTCGAATCAGACGGCTTGTTGGGCGGCGAAACGGAGCAGGACGCTGTTCCACGAAGGAACGGCGTTTTCGACATTTTTTCTGGGGCTCTAAATTCTCTGTCGAGTGGTTCTCTCGGACTTCTGCTCCAGCCTGCTGATGTAATTATTCTCTCTAATATGCTTTTTACCATACCTATATGAATTAAATTGTCAGGCTAATGTGGTTTTCGAAATTTTGGATTAAGTGGGGTTTATCATGTAAGAATCTAATGAACTTTTAGTGTTAGCAACTAATGGATGGATGAAATTACTTGGATTCTTCTTGTTTTGCACTTTTACTCTGTTAAGTTTGTTAAAAAATGCACTGAATTGATGCTGATGAATGCTTGATTTGAACGGTACATAGAGAACGGGAAATGTTCTTTTTGAATTGTTAGTGTTTTCAGTAAGAAATGGTTAAGCATTATGAGTGAGACTACATTCTAGACATATGATTGATCACCCATATTTATATACCTCCAGGTTAAACTACTACAAGATATTGATCTTCGCAGTGTAAGTTGGCACCCCCACAAGCATATCTTGGCGTTTGTTTCTGGCTCACATCATGTGACAGTTCGTGATTATGAGGATTCCGGTAATTACCGTTAACTCTTTCTTTGATATCTTATCTTACTAATGACTGCTGTTTGCAATTTCAACATCTCTATACTGTCTTCCTTCAATTAGATGGAAGGCCTCCTTGCGTCTTGTCTCATGAGTTTCAAAAAGATGCGAAGATTCTTGAGTGGAGACCTAATGGAGGGAGAACACTTTCTGTCGCATGCAAGTTAGTCTTAATTCTCATTGTCTGTGGCATGCAAGTTTGTATCAAAAGTACATATCTTTTAACTTGATTATACTTTGTACCTTTTGATTTTAGGGGCGGGATTTGCATGTGGGCAGCATCTTATCCGGGCAATGTTCCTTCTGTGAGGTCTGGTGTTACTTCAAGCTTACCTTTGAGAGGTTCTGCGGCTAGGTGGACTCTGGTGGATTTCCTTCAAACTTCAAATTCTGAACAAATCAGTGCACTTTCATGGAGTCCTGATGGAAGATATCCTGATAAACTATTTCACGAACTAATGTGCTGATTGCTGATTTTTTCTTATTAGATATACTTTCCAGGTTTTAGTAATCTTGTCATTGGTTGAATTGAATTTCAATTATATAAAAAGAAACCTATTCAAACACCATTTGAATCCCTTGCAGCTAAGCCAGATCAATTCATTTCTATATTATTTCTATTATATGCAGGAAATCTAAAGTTACCCTTGTTTAGTCTCATATCAAATTTATTTAGGTTAGATAGAAGTTGAGCACATTTTTTTGGCATATTGCTATGTAATGGTGGTATTAAATACTTGCTTACTATATATCTTAATTGTCTTGTAGTTGGATGCCATCTTTCTCACTACTAGCCCGAAAGCTTTTTACATGAAGGAAAGTGGTTGAAATGTTTTCAAAACTATCAAATTTTTATTTATTATTATTTTCAGTTAATGTAGCATAAATGCATAAGTAAATTGCTTCTGCCGGATAATCTGCATCAGTATGCCTTACAGTCGACAGAAAGGATGTTTAGCCACATTTGTTTACAATTATTTTTAATGTTATTAATATTAGCATCATCTAGTTATTCATGTTTGGACTTGTCTATGTTGTTTTTTGAGCTAGACAAACCAATTTATATTTGAATCATGTCCTACAAAAACAAATGCATTTGTCATGTTCCTTGACTGAGGTCTACATATTTGGCATCAGCTTCATTCGAGAGTTCATCTTTTACCATTTGGGATGTTTCACAAGGTATGTAGAATCCTTTGATCTTTCCTTTTATAAACTAGTTTATGAAATGTGACACTAGGCTCCACAGTCAGTAGAACATTCCTGCCCCAATCCAAATTCCATAACCTTAACTAGTTTTAGCTTTTGTACAGAAATATTTGCAAATTACGCTCTCCATAAGTGTTCGATGGTGTATGTGAGTCTTATCTGGTTACCTGTTGAGGGATTAAGCTATTACCTTGTAGAATGCTCAATCTACAATAGGCATGCCATGATTAAATTATGATGTCTAAATACATTTTCAAATACCATTCTTGTTTATTTAAGATTGACTTCTGATTGCAGGAGTGGGTACTCCCTTTAGAAGGGGTTTAGGAGGCATATCAATGCTGATGTGGTCCCCGTCAGGAGATTACTTCTTTGTGGCAAAATTGTACTGTAACCCACCCTTATTCTTAAGTTTTGATATGTTTGTTTCCAAGCTTCAAGAATTTATATTGGTTGATATTTGCAAAGGAGCATTCTGATTGGTCATTGTTTAATCAGTGATGGGACATTTTATCTCTGGGAGACAAACACATGGACTTCGGAACCCTGGTCCTCAAAAAATGGATTTGTCACGGTTAGTCAAAAATATGGTATTTTGTTCGTAATTCATGCCTTTTAAACTAGTTTAAGAAGCTTAAATGTTTTGTTCGATTATTGGTATGCGGCTTTGTATTGGGAGTTTGATCTGGTCTTTCTTAGATACCCTAAGGAAGTAAATTCTGATCCTTCATATGTGATGCAGTCACCGTTACTTCTTAAAGATATCATAAGTGTCAACAAATTGTGTGAGCAAGCTTTTTTAGTTGTCATTTTCTTGCAATTTGAGAGTAACCTATATATATATATGTGTGTGTGTGTGTGTGTGTGTGTGTACAGGGAGCAACATGGGATCCTGATGGCCGCATGATACTCCTTTCCTTTTCTGAATCATCAACATTGGGCTCTATTCACTTTGCATCAAAACCTCCTTCACTAGGTATTTGGACCATCTGTTTTGTGTGTTCTATTTGTTTGTCATTTGTGTCATGAAAGTAATATTTGCAGTGCTATGGACTAGTTTACACCAAGAAGGAGCTTTTGTTCTTTGTCATGTTATTCATTTATATGGATTACAACTGTGCATTACTCGTACTTTTTCATTGGTACACAAGTTGTATGACCTGTTTTGTTTATACTCTCAATCTATTTTTGAACTTAATAGAACATGTCTACGAGCCAATGGCCATAGGCTTACTATAGCTTAGCATAAGTTGATAAATGAATTATTGAACTGATGCTGTGTTAACATTTATGTTTTGAATAGAAGTAAGCAGTATCTTGGAATGCTTAAAATTGTTTAGAAAGATTTATTTTGTAATTATTGAGGGTACACAAACTACTGGGAAAAAAAAAAGGGTTAACTTCATTGGCATTGGTACTTCTCTTCACAAAAGCCTCTATATGTTAGCATTTGAATTGAATTTAAAATTTTCATTTCTCCAGATGCACACCTTATACCCGTTGAGTTGCCAGAGATAAAATCCTTGACTGACAGGTAGCAAATCCTTTTGTCGCTTTGTTGCTATATTTTTATCTACTCTGATGTCATGAAGCATAAGCTATTTAATCTAGTTCGTCCGTCATTTGTTTCAAACTTGGATTATCCACTTGGTTTAGACAATTTTTCAGTAGCGAGGTTGAATTCAAATTATTATTCTGTCTCACATTTTTTGTATTTCTTCACCAAAGGGGTTTCATCATGAAGTACAACTTTAGGATGATAAATATGACTTTTTTTTTTTTCACTCTTTATTTTTACTGTTTTTGTGTTTGTAAATAAAATTTTAGCATGCCGGAGACGATGCTCGATCTATCATTATGCACACTCCATTAATAATTCATAATGTGTTGAGTGTTATTATCATTTCATCTTTTTGCTTTGCTGATTTTGTTGGCCATCTGCAGTCATCGTATTGAGAAGATAGCATGGGATGCTTCAGGAGAGAGGTTGGCTGTATCATACCGAGATGGTGATGAGATATACAAAGGTCTCATTGCCATATACGATGTTAAAAGAACTCCGTTAATTTCAACATCGTTGATGTAAGTCTCCATATCTCACTGTACGAAATTTTAATAATATTGATCTGTTTGTTTTTACCAATCTTTTACATTACGTTCATGAAACCCAATATTTTACAAAGGTTTGGGTTGCGAAATGATTTAACAAAAAATGCTGAGGATGAATACAGAGCTTTGTTGTGGTGGCTGTATGATCAGAAAGAGAGCATTTTGTAGCATAAAATGGCATTTATTTGTTATCTGTGAGTAGTATAAATTTTATTCTATTAATATGAATATTTGAATGATGTGATAAATTGATAATATATAGGAGTAATTATACATCATGTGCATCATAGGGAATCATTTTAATTTATTGTTATGTAAAATAGTGTTAGGTGGTAATGATTCCATAAATTTGAATTATGTGCTCTTTTATTTGTAGGAGTAAGAATTGTTTTGTGCTAAATTGTGTTAGTGAATTGGATATTTCGAGTGATTTTGGAGTTGGATAATGATGCTTAAAAGAGATGAAACTTCATGCAGAATATGTTTGTACATTCTCATAGTATTAGGAGCTATTTTGGTTGGGTGCAACGGTCGGAATTTCTTCGGTTGTATGTTGTTAATGGTTTTTCTTTCACCAAATGTAGCTTGGGTTCATTCAGTTGTTTGTTTTTGTCCAATCAGAGGATTCATCCGAGGCCCGGGGGACAACCCAAAGCCGATAGCATTCTCATTCTACAACAAATTTAAACAAGGGCCATTACTTTCTGTGGTTTGTCATCTCTCCAATTGAATTACTTTTTGCATCGACATATTGAGCTCACGACAACGGTGGCATCTTAATATTTAGGCTATCATATCATTGAGTTATTGGATTTTTGCATGTGTTTGGGGCATGATGCTTGGTTCCTTTGTGTTCATGCTTTTCAAATTTCTGAATCAAAATTTATGATGTGGCTATTGTTTCACATTGAATTTGATTAAATATGAAATTCCATACAAATGCTACCATCCATATGTGGTCTAGTATGTCTCTGTTTCGACTCTTTGTTTTGATGAGCTAAAATTCTGGTGCAGTGTTGGAGCAGTGGTTTTTGCTGCACGTACCCTCTTATATTTCGTTAACCCGGCTCGCGGCTCGCTGCAAGTTTTCAAGGTACTGTTTATATTCATAGTTTAATTTTATCCAATACTTCTCTTTACACATGTTGTTCGGAAGCTCGATATTATAAACTTGTTAATTTGAAAACTAAATGACATATTCTGCGGTAATATGAAAAAGATTTCATTTATTTATTTTTGAAGGAAAGGCTCCACTCGATTTTGCTCGTTGGTAATCTGCTGTTACATCCATTTGTAAAATTTTTCTATCTAGAGTAACTTTGGGGTTGAAGCTGTCTTTCTAGACCAACTATCAATTTGGCTAGGCTCGCTCGACTCGGTTAGGACTAATGAATTTTGGTGATAATTCAGAAGCATGATGTCCAATTCCATGGTGTGTGAAGACATTTCTTTTAGTATTTGTTATGTGACATTATTACAAAAGAGGTTTAACATTTTATTGTGTTTTCAGTATATATCATACAAATACATGATGCATGTGTGGGTGTATATATATATATATATATATCAATGATCATCGATCTTCTTGCTTTAAAATTTATTTACTGTTGCAGATTTATATATAGGTAGGATAATTTATATATATTGGAAATTTGGGAAGTTGCATGCATGTTGAGAGAGAAATATAGAGAGAACGATGGTTGAATCATTATTATTGTTATTGGGACATTTAAATTGAGTCTAACGAGCCGAGCTCGACGCACTATTTTGGTTCGAATTTTTAACGAGCCAAGCCGAGCCTGTACCGTTAACAAGTTCGAGTCAAGCTCGAAGAACAATTAATACTTGAGTTCACTCGGCTCATTTAACAGGTTTATGTAGAACGGAGGGAATACATTTTTATAAACGAGTTCATCTCTAGGCCACAAAACAATCCCTTGCAATATGATATTTTGATATTTGTTGTTCTAATAATGTAACACCCAAAGCAATTTCTCTCTTTTTTTTTTTCATCATTCTTTTGTTTTATTTTTATTTTATTTTTTTTCATGCTTTCCTTTATTTATATTTTTTTAATTATTATTATTTTTTGTTGTTCGTTTATTTATAGTAAATAATTTTATTTGTTCATAATTTTATTATTTTATCTTAACAAATAATAATAAATTTATTACAATTCTTTTTATACACTCTTCCATTTTATTTATATATTTTAATAAATTATTTATAATACCTTATTTATTTTTTACTTGCACCAATTATTATTTATTAATATTAACTAAATCTACATAAATCTGCATAATTATTTATACTAAACGGTGTATTTTTTTTAATCAAATTTTTATTATTTTTATTATTTTTTTCAAAAATACAAGTTAAATATTTATTTTTTATTTTTTATATATATTAAAATTTAATTTTATATTCAAAATATTATATCAAATGTTTATTTATATTCAATCACAAATAATTTCAATTCAAAAATTTAATTATTTAAATCCAAATAATCACACCCTTTCATTTATTACTATTTTTTAAATATATTAATTTAACGAATTTCCGGTTCGACCGACGGTTTACGGTTAGATCGATTCGAGAGCCGGTTCGAACCGAATGGGCAAGTTTATAGCTATCATCATCATTATCTTCTACCCGTTTTCTTTCAAGCGCCGCGGCGATCTAGGGTTTCATCTGCTCACTGTACCTGCACCAGATCTGTGTCCCTGCGCATGAAAAATGGAGAGCGAAGGGGCAAAGCTACCTGTACCGATATTCAAAGACATTAGGAGGTATTATTGCGAGTTCTGTGGGATTTGTCGATCGAAGAAATCGCTATTAGCTTCTCATATGCTCACGCACCACAAGGTTTGCGGATTTGATTGTGATTATTCCTATTGCGGAAATCTACATATTTTTTAGTATGTGACAAGTAGTGATTCTGTTCATTTGTTAAATTTGGTTCTCGATTGTTGTTTGTGGATTTTAGGAGGAGATGGAGGAAAACGAAGATACAAAAGAAGAAGATCATGAGCAGAAATTGAATGTATGCGAAGAGTGCGGTGCGAATTTCCGAAAGCCTGCCCACTTAAAACAGCATCTGCAGAGCCATTCACTTGAGGTCAGATCGGAATTCGAATATTCTCATGTGTAATTTGCAGGATTTATATTGATAGTATCTTTTCTCTTTTACTATACAAAGATACACATCAAAACTTGAATAAGTTAGTGTTCGAGTGCTCGAATTGAAAATCCAAATTCAAGTTTGTTCAATTATTTTGTTCTCTGGAATTCCATCATCTTGTGAACTGAATAAATGCAACTTTGCAGATTATAGTTTGCATATATCCCCCTGCGTGAAGCATTGGATCCCAAATTGAAGAACTCCAAAATGCAAGAGGCTGCAAAAAATCACCTCGATGGAATAGTATCAGGCGGGGGACTGCCTGAGAAGCTCCATCAGGCGGGCCTCTGTCACGCACATTATCCTCGAGGTTTGAGATGGGTTGTTTTAATGTATTTCGCGAGATACGAAGATTTGTGTTTCTGCAAGTTTTGTTCTTGAGAAGCTTCTTTTTTTTTTCTCATTGTAAGCTTGTTTCTGTGACAGAGGTCCTTTATGTGTCCTGTCAACGACTGCCAGTCCAGTTATAGAAGGAAAGATCACTTGACCAGACACATGCTTAAACACGAAGGCAAGCTGTTTGAATGCCCTGTTTCCGACTGTAAGTCGAGATTCGCGTATCATGGGAATATGACACGCCATGTAAAAGAGTTCCATGACGATGACGAAGACGACTCATCTCGTACGAAGATCGATCATCCTAAAGAATGTGCTTGTGCAGAACCCGGGTGTGGTAAGGTGTTCAAGTATCCTTCCCAATTACGTAAACACGAGGATTCTCATGGTATGATGCGTACTTCAATTTTCCGTCAAATTGCATAAATATTATGTTGGAGAAACATCAAATGTGATCATTGTGTCGAATTCTGTTGTGATTACAGTTAAGTTGGATTCCGTGGAGGCGTTCTGCGTTGAACCGGGCTGTTTGAAATATTTCAGTAACGATAAGTGCCTTAGAGAGCATATTAGGTCTTTTCACCGTTACATTATCTGTGAGACCTGCGGCAAGAAACAGTTGAAGAAGAACATTAAGCGACACATTCGCACACACGAAGGAGGTGTTTCACCCCTGAAAGTTGAATGTAATTACGAGGGATGCTCACTAACATTTTCAACGGTATGCTGCTCTGAATCGAATTTTTATTTCATTACATTAAGGTTGTGTTTGTTTGGGGATTTGGATTTTGAGTTGAGATTTGAATAGTAAAAATTTTGAATTTGAATAGTTGTATGATGTGATATAAATAGGTGTTATGTGATGTTTTGAATGTAAAATTGATTTTTAGTATAATATAAAAAATGAAAAATAAGTGTTTGATTTGATGTTTTTGGGGAAAAAAAATTGGATGAATAGTAGGATTAAAATCCAATCCCCCAAACAAACACACCCTAACTAGTAATGATTGTTTAGGTTCCGACTACATGGTCTTCTAGATTTTTTGTAGTTTTGGAAAATGTTGTATTTGATGCGATACTTCATGAGATAATAGTTATTTGGGGTTTGTTATTTAGAGGTTTAGAGTTTTCGGAAAAAATTAGTCAAAGTGTGAAATTGTGAATATTTGATACTCTCTCTGTCCGGTGGTGAACTTCCCGTTTGTCTTTTGCCTGTAGATTAAGGTAAATTAATATTTTATAGATATGTAGTATAATAAAGTAATGTCCATTTTACCCTTTGAAAAGTAATATGCAAAGTAAAAGATAGGCTTATTTTGGTAATTTTTTTTACGTGAGTTATGATAATATATCAATATAGTATTTTGTATTGAATGTTTACTTTTTGTAAGAGAACATAATATATATTATATATTGAGAATCGTGTTACAGAAATCTTGATTGGGCAAACGAAATAAACTCGAGTTTTGGATAGTTTTATTCCAACATCAAATTTATAATGAACTTGGTGATTTCCTACAGGCATCTAATCTCAAACAGCACATTAAAGCCGTTCACTTGCAGCTTAAACCATTCGTCTGCGGCTCACCCGGCTGCAACATGAGATTCGCATTTAAACATGTGAGGGACAACCACGAAAAATCCGGATGCCATGTCTACACTCCCGTGAGCACTTTCTTACAACAAACGAATTTTATGCTTCATCGCTGGATCATTTGTAACTCTAAATTATAATCTGTGCGCCTGCCTGATTTGTCGTGCAGGGAGACTTTGAGGAGTCGGATGAGCAATTTCAGTCCCGACCAAGAGGTGGAAGGAAAAGAAAGTATCCGGTCATCGAGACACTTATGCGTAAAAGAATCGTTCCACCTGAAATTGAAATAGACGAAGAACATGGTACAGGAATCAGCTGTTGAAGGTAATCAATCGATCTACATTTATATATATATATATTTAGGATTTCATGGTTTGATTTTAGTAGAAACATGACAATAATTGAATTTTGGTGTACTAAAAGTAGTAAGATATGATGATAACAATTAAGGGAGTTTTAGTTTTTGTATAAATTGTTTTTGGGTATGGCAATTTTTTAATTTTTAGTTTAAATAGTATTTTGATGTGAATGTAAAAAAAAAAAAATACTCCCTCACTCGGATAATAATTGACCTTTTTTTCATTTTTGTATCTCTATAATAATTGACATATTTTTATTGTTTTAAAATTTATTAAATTAAAATATATTTAACAAATATAAATCAATATAATTAATTTTATAATATATAACTTCACCCGCTCAAAAGCCTTTGGGTGTGTTTGTGTGTGGGTTTGGATTTTTGAATAGTAAAAAATTGAATTTAAAGAGTATATATAGGTTGATGTGATGTTTTTAATATAAAATAAATTTGTAGTATAATATAAAAAATAAAAATAATTGTTTAGTTTGATATTTTAGGAGTAAAGAAAATTTTGAATAATAAAAATATTGTTGTAAAATCTACGGAAAAACACAACCAAATTATCTCTCTTTTTAAAGAATTTTTTTTTTTTGTTATTTATATTTAAAAATTTTCATTTTTTATAAAATTATTTTTATATTAATTATAAATAAATGAAAGTAATTTTTTTATACTTGTATTTAGAAAATTTTATTATTTACAAATTGATATTCATATTTTATTATTATATAATTTAAGAAATATTTTAATATATATTTTAATTTTTTAAAATTATATATATTAAATTTATTTAAAACTATAATATATGAATTATATAAATTATAACAAAATAATATTATAATTTATTATTAATTAATTAATTAAACGTCATTTTTTTAAATATTGTGTCCTTAATAAAAAAAAAGTCAATTATCTTACACGAATAATATTTGTTACTGGTATGTAATAAATGTAGGCTCTATAATATTAAGAACATTTATATTATTTTATACGAAAGTATTTAAATATTTTTTTCAATACATCTTTCTTAGTTTTACATATTTTGTAACATTTTTATTAAATATAAAATATTAGTACTTTCTTAGTTTTACATATTTTGTAACATTTTTATTAAATATAAAATATTAGTACTTCCTCCATAGGTACTTTGAAATTATTTTAAATTAAAGAATAATATTACCTATGTTATTGAAATTTGTTTTCATTGTAAACTAGGGAGAAAATAATATTTTATTAGTTATTATAAATGTAAAATAATTTGATATTTTTGTTATTTTGAAATTTATGTATTAAATAATTATATATATAATAATATATTTTATAGTTAATATAAACTATTTATTTTTTAATTTTAATTCATTCCATAACAAAGTATCAATTAATTTTTTCAATAATTGTATTATCTACCTAACATTACAAATATTCTTACAACGATATATTACACAAATGTCATTACTTTTATATCACACAATACTAATAAGGTTATTTTAGTCATTTCTACTTTATTTCTATTATATCTCAATATAATATTAATAGTTCTAAAACTCCATGCAAAAGGAAAGATAGATAGTTATGCGATGGATGGAGTATTAGTAATATATATATATTCTATTATATATCTAATGAACAATTATTTATTATTTTAAAATAAAATTAAAAAAAAATCTATAACAACTAGCTTTGTTATTTTTTACCCAAAATTACTCAATATATTTTTCAAAAAAATTAATATATTATACACATTTATTATATTTATATTATCTACACAATTTCTAATATCTTATATTTAAACCAAAATACAAAACAAAGATACCCAGGTTCATCTAATATTTTTGGATAAACATATTTTTAGGTATGAATCATTGTATTGGTAGTATGAATATTAATATTTTATGCTGAATTATTAATTTTTTGTGAATGAATAAATATATATTATATTTTTTATTTTAAAATTTAATTTTAATTAGAATAATTAGTTATCTTAATTTTAATCTATAATTATTTTTTATATGATAATTATTTTTTACTAATATATTACTCTCTCCGTCGGCTTTTAAGGGTCACATTTATCTTTTTCTCTTAACATGAAAAATATCTTTATATTTGTATAATATTTTGTACACATGTCATTCTATTGGTATTATAAAACATCAATGAAAATACTTTTATAATTTTTTTTCTTAAATAAACAAAATTCTTAAAACTGGACGAAGGTAGTATTTATTTTCAAATTACTTTAAAATTTAAAAAGACCATTTGGATTGAGACAGAATAGTGTCTCTATTTAAAATGATGTTGATTATAAACTAGCGATAATTATGCAAATATTATACAAGTAAATTGGGTGAAATATTTTAGATAAGCTTCTTTGAATAAAATCAATAGATGAAATATTGATCAACTCTTAGTTTCAACATTTTGTGAAATTTAAATAATTAAATGACAGTATTGTCTTCATTTTTATTAATGTAAAAACAAGATATTGATTAATTAATTGTTTATTTATTTTATTAAAGAACATGTAAGCTATTTAACTATCTTTATTTACATAACATTTGCATAATTAAGTATATATTTACAATGAATGTCAATTTTGTACAAAGATAGTTTATTTTGTGCAATATTTAATATTATAAGACAATAAATCCACCTAATAAATAAATACAATGTATTTTATATATTATACTACATCTCGTTCTATTTTTTTATTTGGACGTTTAACAACTATCGTTCTATTTTTTTTTTAAATACAAATTTTATATTTTTACCCATCATTCATTTATTACTTTTTATCTCTACCATACAATTAAGGGCAAATTTGTCGATTCATAACAAAAAGACAATCACCTAAAAAATCGTACAAATATACTTTAGGACAATAGAAATTGGACGGATATAGAGTAATAAAATACATATAGATTTTATGTAATTTATCCTAATTAAAAAGAATGGTAGTGTTCTTCAGAGATTTTTTTAGTTTGGATTAGAATTATAATTTTTATTTAATATTCATAAAAATACATATATGGTTTTGAAAATTGTAATGATATTATTGTAAAAAGAAAAAAAAAATAAATAATAAAAAAACAAAAATACCTATTATGTTAAGTAAATAGTACAATTACTAAATTAAAAAATAGTAATCTTGTTTTGTTTTAGAACGAACGAAAATGAAAAATAATAACATTGAGAGTATAAAGTTTTTTTTAGTAACTTTTCTTTCAAACATTCTGTTCAAAATTGTACATGGTCGTATACAATTTAATAATAAGATTAATATTAATTAAAATTGTGTGTAATTAGATTAAAATTAATAATTTTTTTATATTTAAAGTATTAAAACTAGGATTGATTTTTTCCCCTATTTTTTAATCTACTAAATAAAAATAATAATAAATCACTAGGATGGAGGGAATATTGTTTTACTTTTTAATGATATCGAATATTCTAAAACACAAACACACACATTTAGAGCTTTTACTACATTAAAAATAAAAATAAAAAATAAAATAAAATTCGAAGTCGGCGTTTTACGTAGGCTTCCATGACTCGAGAGTCGGAAAGCTGCAAAACGGCTCAGCTAGGCGCCGAGCTTCAGCCGCGCCGCCATTCAACGCCGAACCCGAGCCGTTCAGCAAAAAAGCCACACTGCTCTCCGGAAGGTATAATTCCCTCCGCCGCTCGAGATTCAGCACCGCCGACGCTGGCGGAGCCTCCTCACCGCCGGCAAACCTCGCGCCGGTCATTCGCTGCACCATCCACCGGAAATCCGCCGGATCCGTAGCAATAAAAGTAGTCGTCCCCGTCGACGACGCTCGCTTCGACGGCCGCGGCTTCCGCTTAGAGATCGTGCATCGCGGCGGAATTCTCCGCCGCTGCTCTGAAACCGAGGCTTCATTCTCCGATCCGCCGGAAGCCGACGGCGAAACCTCAGGCTTCGAAAATACCAAATCGACAAATTGAGGCCTTAAAACGTCTCCGCCGGCGGAACTTCCGGCGAAGGAGCTCTGAATAGCAAAAGCATCGGAAAACCAAGCGTCGGAGAACGCGAGACGAGCAGACCACGGCTGCTCCGCCGTCAACAGAGCATCGTACGACGCCATAGCCGAAGCTCAGATTTCTCAAATTCGAAACTCGGAAAAAAATGCCTCCGAAAATCCGAAATCAACAATCCGCCAAAACTTCCCAAAATCGAAACTGCAGAGAAACTGAAACTAGCAGAAATGGCGAACGGTATATATATATAGCCAGATTCTAAAACAGTAGTCGTGTTTCAAAAAAGTTTATATAAGTCGCGAAATGTACAGTTGTAACTGTAGAGAAAAGCAGAGAGGTGACCGGAGAGGATGGGCAGGGTGTGAATAAATAGGCGGTTGCAGAGGTGAAGAAACCGCGTGGTTTTGGACACGTGTCAATGACGTGTACAATCCACAGTACCAAAATGTTTACCGCTGCTACGCATTAACTAAGGGAGCGTTTGTTTGGGTTTAAAAGTTGGAAATTGTAAATTTTTTAATAGTATCATATAAATACTCTCCTTTACAAATTATATATTGCCTCCCTCCGGTATTAGATAATAAAAAAAAATATATATATATAAATAATTATTATAAATTTTATAAGATTGTAAAAATAATAGATAAAAATGATGATGCTACAAAGAGTGTTAAGAAAATAATTTGAATAGCAATATAGATATAATATGAATAAAAGAAATAAAAAAAAAATAATACACTAGAGACATTAACTATAATATACTATTCTAATTAAACAATACTATTTTGCATATATTAAATATATATATATACCTCTTTGTTGCCATTCAATAGATTTATTTTATATGATCTTATTTGAGTTGGACACGAGATTGATAGTTTGGTAAAAAGTATGAGTAAAAAATTTATTTACAATGTATTAGGGTAAATAAGTAGTGATATTTGTGTAATAATGATGAAAAAGTAAAAATAATATTATGATGATACAAATATTTATGAAAATAAGACTATTATTTTAGGATAAAACAAAAATAATAAACAAACGGAGAGTATCAAATGTTGAATTGATGGAATAATACACCATATTTACGATTGGATTTAAATTATTGCCACGTGAGATTCGCGGTGGGTCCCAGATGCCGTGTGGGACAACAAACATTCAGAGCGCTTCTAGCCGTTAAAAGCGCCAACGCTATTTTCAAAAAAAAAAAAAAAATCAAAAATGAAAACACAATTAATGCTAATTCAATTTTAATATTATTATAATTATTTAAAAAATATACTCAACTTTAGTAATATATTATAAAATTTTAATAAAAACATAATTCTATTATAACAAAATTAATCAAATTTGTTCTATATGTTACATTCTACTCTAATGGGAGTTTTGTAACCAATTGTTTGAGTTTTTTATATATGATGATATCATTTTCTTTCAAATATTATAACAATTAAAACACTGGGGACTGGGATTGAGGGTTTTAATTTCAACTTTTTCCTTTTAAATACTCCCTCCATCCCTAACAAATCTATTTTCTTTTAGTAAATATACTATCTACTTAATATTACAAATACTTTTACGGTACTAATAAAATTATTTTAGTCAATTATTTCTAAAACTCCGTATACATAATTATGGAACGAAGAGAGTAATAAAATTTATATGGTTTTTCACACAACATGATTTTTAATATATATACATATAATATAAAAAAATATTTCAAAGCTATTCAAATCAAAATACAAAAAATAAAAAATTACCAACTGAGTAATTTCATGTAACATGAACCAGATTGGACAATGTGAAACAGTTTTTATTCCTCTAATAACTTCAAACAAACTGTAAGAGCTAAAACATGTATAAGACTCTTTACTTGAAATTAATTTTAACACTTTTACTATGAAATTTCATGTACAAATAAATAAATAAATTCATCTTATAATACATCACACTAAAAATACTATTTAAACACAAATTCAAAACTAAAACTACTCAACCGGCACATTCACAAACACCGGCAAAGAGCAAAATAAAAAATAAGATCCGGGATTGAAACAAATTTCTAGTATCGAAAACAAGAATGACAACACAAAGAAGTTCGCATAAAAACATGTATAGAACTACTCAATCGGGCAAAATCACCAACACCGGCAAAGAGCAAAATCACAAATAAGGATCCGGGATCAAAATAAATTTCTAGTATTGACAACAAGAATCACAAAATGAAGAAGTTCGCATGCAAATATGTATATATATGTCTTGCCTACACCAAATGTTACAAATAAAATTGTCTTTCATCAAAATGCCCTAAATAAACATACCCTAAAGTAATGCAGACTCACCCCCCACAATAATTGCTAGCTGTCATCGATGGTTCTGAGCATAGTCGAAACTTAGAGGCTGTTGACAGAAGGGAACCTACAAAAACAAAAAAAAAGAAAAAGAATAGTTGTATTAACACAAGATATACAGCAGCTCATGCAGCTTCCGACATTTTTACATGTGAAAGAAATAAAAAGGCAACATTAAATTCATGCATTAAAGGTAAAAACAACGATAGCAATGATTTTGACAGAAGCGCAAAACAGTAAAAGGAAACAAACAATTAACCATGTCTTTGCCAATGTCATGGACAAAATAGTAGATGATGTAATTGAATCGGTACAGCTACTAATAATCTCCATTACACAGCTCTTCAACCATCGAAAATAATTGTTTCCATTAGTTACAATGTCAGATGTCATATCGGGAGACGAGAAAAGGGAGTAAATCAAAAACTAGCAATTCAAGGTCATACAGAAAAAAAAATATTTAAAAAGCGTCGCACAGCAGACAAGTAGACTATATGTTAACAATAGAGGTGATTGTGGTACTTTGGTTCAAACCGAAGCCAAAGTAGTTCGAACAAAAAACCATCAATACATATGTACACATACACACACACACATATATATATATATATATTTGATTGCTATACTTTTGGAGCCACTTATGGCACACAGAAAGTTCTTATTTGACAATAATAATTCTCTTAGTATCATTTATAATAACTTTTTAAAATTTCGTTTGCTCTTTTTATTTTATTTTTTGTTCTTTTCATTTTTACTATATTATATTTCAGTTTTCCTCAAAAACATCACATCTAATACTTATTTTTTGTACAAAATATTTCATTCAACTATTTTATTGAAAAAAACACAAAAACAAAATAAGAACACCAAAAGAACAATTCCCTTCATATTCTTCAGTGTTTTACAAACATTATACATTCTTTTCTAATTTCACTCCAATCTTCTGACTATTTAATCTGCTATTTTTTTTTTTCAAAAACATATATCAAACATCTATTTTTTATACAAAACATAGCCTCAACAAATATTTTACCTAAAAGACAATAAAATACAAATATATATATATATATAAAACACACACACAAGAATTCACCCTTCATTATTATTTAATTTTCGAACTTATGTTATGTTTAAATTTAGATTACATGTCAATTTACAATTTTCCTAAACAGATCTTAATTTGATTATTAATGAAGGAAAATGAAATCAAAACCAAACTAGCAAACAAAAAAAAAAAATCCCTAATGTATGGTTTCCACCTAAAATGTAATAGCAAACAATCCAAAATATCAGGTCTACACCACTTCACCCTATATGAGAATTCAAAAAATGGAAAAGAAAATAAACAAATTAACGAGAAAGGGGACATCGATTACCTGGAAAAAAGCATTTCGAAGTTGATCATAAGATTGTGCATACATCACCGACTGAGTAGGCCATGGTACATATAAACCGCCTGTGGCAGTCTGGTTCGAACCCATAGCACAGTAAGGGCTCATCCCCGGGTTCATATAGTTAAGAGAGGCTTGAGGTGCAGGCATCTGACCCATCTGAGGGAATACTGATTCGTAATGCACAAATGGAGGCTGGAAATTCTGAATATTGAATGGCGCTGCCACGTTGAAACTTTGAGGGGTCGGCATTGTCCTAGCATATCTGCATCATGCCATGTCGGAAAATCAGGTTGAAAATTTTAAAATGACACAAAAAGGAATGCGCCAAGAAAGATATTTAATATCCTAAATAAAGCATCGAGGACATCAGAGAAAGTGCAGCAAAGAAATTCTTAATTTCAAATACGGCATATACTTTTATTTTTCATTTAATATAGTACCTATAAAATTTATTTTGCATTCAAAATATCAAATCAAAAAACTTTACAATTCATATTTTTTACTATTCAGAAAACACACCAAAATCCATAATTTCCCAATTCAGTAAAGAGTTGCAAAGAACACACCTTCCATAGCTGCGATCATAATCAGGATCGGTGAGATCCTTCTCCCGGTCCCTTAAAATTGCAACTCTAGAAAAGCTACCTGTTTCCCTATTGAAAAGGTTATTATCCCCATCGACATTGATGTTCTTAAAAACTTCGTTCTCATCAAAATTAAGATTCCTCCCATCAGAAGTAACTTGGCCCGATGAATCTTCTGACCCAGAATTGGTAGGGCTACTGAAGATCCGAGCTCGTGCTCTTTCATACTCCTCCTTTCTCTCTTCCACAGATCTCACGGAGCTGCGTTCAGGCCCAAGTTTGCCCGCATCATGTGAGGATGCTTTAGGTCTAGGCCTCCTCACAATCTTGATTTTATCAACCTTTTCATTTTCAGACTCTTTTGCAGGTACCTCCGATAAACAAACTGAAGGAAACTTAGACTCAGGTTTCTTCAGAACCAAAATCCGAATTCCTTGGCCATCTGCAGAATTATCCAGAACCATGGTCTGCAAACCATAATGTTGAGCAACCCGATGTGCCGCAAGCCGGAGGTATGAAGTTGGAAAATGTGGAAACTCAAATTGTTGTGCATTAAAATTCTGCATGAACTTCTGTATATCGAGCTCCATTCGTAGGACTGACAAAATAAAACAAAATTTAAAATAAAGGAAGATAAAACCATAGCATCTATGAAATAAATCAAAATAACAGAGACAAGATGATAAGCATATTCACTCAAATGCAGCAACTGGATACCATATGAGGTTTACGAGTTTAGTGGGAATATTTATTAATTTCTTGTATACACACACACATACACATTAAAGTGGATTATATTGCAATGATCAATAATCTATCTGAAAGCTGTTTACAACAAGCAAATTAAAGATTGCAAACACTGAAGAGTGACAGGATGATACCAGTGGAAAGGAGAATCTCATATGATCCATCTTATAGATCTTAAAGAACCTTAGCTTTCCCGATACCAGAAATCAGATCATGTTTAAAGAAAATGTACAGAATATTTTCAACATATGTTGTAACATTTTAAGCTATAAGAATCCTCATCTGCCTGTAAAAGTACCTGGAATGTCTCAAGGAAAATATTCACAGGGTAGAAAAAATGAACAAATACATAGAACACTACATTAGGCACAAAACGAAGGATTGATCAAGGACCGAACTTCCAAGTTTATCTAATACCTTATTTTTCTATTATTTAAAGCTTAGGAAACCAAAGCAAATCAACCTCCGCCACTGAATAAAAGTGAGATATTCATCAAGGCCAACAATATCATATGAATCTCCCCGTACAGTACCAAAGTTCGACATACTCTAACTACACTCAACAGGAATAGCAAACCAATAGCCTGGGACTGTGTATTCACCTTATATTAGCTCCGTGTTTTCTAAATTATACTCGGCCACTCTTGAAACACATTCCTAAAAGGACTCAATATACCCTTCATTATAAACATAGGAAATCCAAAAATCTATTATTCCCGGGGTCTTGAATGTTATGTTTTGAATTGAATGGTTTTTTCAACTGTTCTTTATGGATTCCACCATTCCTAATCTTCAGTGCCACTAAGATGTTCAATTTAACCACGCAATACTTAATATTACACCATTCCCAACAACTAATCAACTTACGAGCATTACTAGCTACCTACATATATCATGTAAAGAAATCAAATAAGTAGTTTAGACAATAAATATAGTTTAGATAAATTCGCCTAACATATGAACAAAATTTCCAAAGATCTTTGTTACCGAACATTTAGATTTAATCGAACCAGAATTCTTCCTTCATTAAAGATATCAAACAAAACCCAATTCAAATTTCTCCCAAACCCTAGATCTGCATCAACTAAGCAAAAAAATTATCCCAAACTCCACCCATATCTTCAAGGAACCTAATCCATTTAACTCTCATCAATCAACTCAAACCCTAACTCTCCCCCAAAAACTAAAAGTATGACAAAAAGAAAATCATAACTCTGAAGCACAACCAAGATTCAAAGGCTCAGACTTAGACACAATACTGTCTTCCAACAAAAATCAATCTAGTAAATAAATACAGAGAACTCACTAGTCAACCGATGCCGCGGGTTCTGCAGAGCCTCCACAAGAAATGGATCCACCGTCGAAACATAAGCCAGCGGCGGCGGCGGCGGCGGCGGCGGCGGCGGCGGCGGCGACATATCCTTATCCTTCATATCGACGGCGACGCCATTCACGCAGGATTCAACGGGTGGAAGGGAAGTCAAATCCATGCTCCAAAATTCCTACAACAAATTTTGAAAAAAAAAAAATCGAAACAAACGAAAGTAGGGGAGAATTATACAATTGTTGGATGGTTGATACGGCGGCGACGGGGAATTGAGAAAAGGGAGGGAAGAAACCCTTCTCTCCCGAATCGCTCGCCCTTGGCCTTGGGGGTAACCCTCTACCCTTTACCCTTTACCCTTCAACCACCAATCAAAGAGAGTGCAAGATCGGGAATCGGGGCAGGATTTATAGGGATTGGGTTTGTGGGCGTCTTTTAGGGTTTCTTTCGGTCCTGTTTGATTTATCTGGACCGTGTTTGTATTGTCTTTTTATTTTTACTTTTAGCGCGTTCGTTAGATTTTCCACAAAATTTATTATTCATTAATTTATTTTTTATTTTTTTAAAAAAATATCAAATTGTGCATTCGATAATTAGTTGTTAGCGATTTAATTAACTGTTTAGCTATTAATTGATTCGTTTAATTAGCTGATTTAATTAGTAGTTTGTATTAAAGTGTTTGGTAAAATAATTATTTGACATTAACTGTTTATACATAAAAATGATTATTAAAGACATTGATATGTTATTTTTTTAAATATTTAATTTTGTTCATTTTGATTTAAAATTTATAAAAAAAATTTGTTATTAATTATTGAAAATTATAAAATATTTATTTTTATTTTTATTATTTAGATTTGAGAAAATTATTTTTACTAAAAACTAATAATTTTTTATTGAAATTATGTAAAATATAAAATAATAAATTTTTCGTATATATTTTTTTATTATGTTAAAATTATTGTTTTAATATATATAAATAAATTAATAACATTTATTTTTTCTATTTGATTTAGTTTTAAAAATTTATATATTTTACAAATAAAATAATTTATATGTAATAATTAATAATAGTAATTATTTTAAATTTACAAAAATAAAAATATAATTTAATAAATTAAATATATTAAAGATAATTAATAAATACTGATATAAATATATTTATATGTATAAAATAAATAATTAAGTTTTAAAGGTAAATTAAGAATAACCAAAATTAAAATGAAAAAGCTCTTTTCAAAACGCTCAGTAGATGAGCTTTTCAGATATTAGTTTTTTATGTCCAAAAAAGCTCTTTAAAAAAGTTAATTTACCAAACACCTAAATTAGTTTTTTCACTGATTAAACAAACTCTTCAAAAAATTATTTCTCAAACACCCTCTAAATCAAAACACCCTCTTCAAATATATGTAATATAAATATAATTTTGTAAAGAATTTTTTTAAAAATAATATGAATAAATAAAATTTATTTATTTTTTTATAATTAAGATAGATAAATTTTATAAAAAAGGAATGAGTTTTAAATGTAGATAAAAATATTTGTTTATTGATGTGTATAAAAATAAAAAGGTTTTGAGTGAGGTATGATGTGTTATGTCATTTATTATAAAATTAATTAAATTGATTTATATTTGTTATGTATATTTAAATTTAGTAAATTTTACTAAAACTAAAAACATGAAGACAATATATGAAGTAATAAAATAATATCATGGAGGAACTATTGTAATTAACTTATTAAATTACATTACCTAAAATATATGTTCATAACTAAAGAAATCTTTTTCTACAGGATAAAGGGAATAATAAATAATTTTTAAATTACTTACATTACAATTTTAATATTATTGAAAAATACTTATCCAACATATAGATAAAAATATATTTATCTGTTCACCAAATTTAGTCTACTTTTTTTTTTAAAAAATTATATATAAAAAAAAGTAAACTAAATTTTCCGAAGGGAGACATTATAGTACTTGATTAAACATAATAAATACTAAAATAAACCTTAAAATCAATTACAAAACTAAAATATAAATATATAAAAATAGTTTTTTACAAATAATAAAAAAAATAAAATTCACAAAAAAACAAATGGGTAAAAACACACATTGCAAATAAATTTAGATTAATGTTTTTTAAAAAATATATATATATTGTACAAACAACAAAAATCACTTTAGATTGAATGAAGATGGCATATAACCCCAAATACAAATCAAACAAATATATATTTACTTTGAGCTTTTATTTTTAAATAATAAAATTTTGAATTGAAATTATTATTTTATGCGATATAAATATGTATTAATATAATATTTTGATATTAATATTAATTTTAATGCAATATAATAAAAAATAAATAAATATTTAATACTACTTTCGTCCGGCTCTAAGGGTCTCATTTATTTTTTTTTGCGTGTTGATATTTGAATATTAATTATTATATCAAAACATAGTATAAATTAAGAAAAAATTACAAAAATATTTACATTAGTGTCTTATAATACTAATAGAAGAACATTTGTATAAAAAATTATACAAATATAAGGATATTTTTAATGTTAAGTACAATGACGTAGAAAGTAAATATAACCCTTAGAGATTATATGATATTTTGAAAGCTTTTTCTTTCTTAGAAAATAGTATAGTATAACTAAAAGTTCGGTTCGATTTAAAATCGAGTAATCCAAATTTTTATTTATTAATATATAACTTACATATACTGTTAAATATAAACAATCAAAATTATAATATATATTTCATCCGTTTCAATTCAAAGTACCATTTTTATCATTTTCGTATGTATCACTCCAAAGCATTAATTTTTTTATCTTATAAATGATAATCATACACTAATACTAAAATACCTTTTAACTTTTTACTTAAATTACAACATACCATTTACACATACAAAAACTTTATACAAAAGTTAAATGGCAAAAATATTAAAATCTTTTACACACTTTAACTAATTAATAGAATACTATTATTTTTTAATTTACTACAAAACTTTAAAGAAACCCTTTCGTTTGAGACGGACAGGGTATTATTTATTAATATATAATTTTTATTACTCCATTTCATAGGGAGATTAAAAAAATATTTTATTTATAAATAATAAAAGAGAAAAAGAATATAATAAATTTAAGGATATTTGTTATAAATAATTGTTGAATGAAGAATAATAGTTAAATGTTAATTTGTCAACTTTATAAAAAATTAGTAACGAGGTGAATTTAGCGGACGGACTAAAACTAAAAGTTGAAATAAATTTTACGGACTTAGAGAGTTTTTTTTTTTCTTCTAAAGTTTGGCATTTTCAATTAATCGAAATAAAAATAAAAATAAAAATCATAACCAAACTGAAACTAAATTTTATAAATTCAATTTTTGGACTGAACCAAATCAAATTCCTGAACAGTTCAAACGAAAAAAAAATAAAAAAAAAATAAAAATAAAATCATTTTTTTATTTTAGAATCGACCAATTCTCAACCCTAGATATACATCCAATTTACCTATTTACATCAATTGATGATGTTGGCATCTTAAGTGGCAAGTTTCTAATATTTCCGAACGATCGGTGCCCCGAAACAACCAAAAATTGAATTTGTTATCATTAAATTGATTAAACTCATCATTTTCTATATTTGTATCCGCTATCGACAAAAAATTTTCGGGCAATTGGTGTATTTTAAGTCGGTTGAAAAACTAATGACGTGGATTCTCCATTCAACTAAAAAAGGAAACTTTTGAGTTGATCTACGTAGGATTGTGACCAGAGAATGAAAATGAAATAAAACAATAAAAATAACACATATAAGGAAAATCGAAAATTTACGTAGCAACGTAAAAAACACTAAGTAAAATCGGAATAAGTAAATTGCATTAGATGTAAAATATAAGAAATGTAATACTAGGAAAAAATAAAAATAAAAACAAAAACAAGAAAAATAAATAATAGTAGTAATTTATACCGTGAGTTATAGAAAATTATATTGGTAATATAAAAATAATATTTCTTTCGTCCAATTTTAATGATCATATTTACTTTCTGCGTGTTAATTTTTTAATATGAATTATTATATCAAAATATAATACAAATGAAAGGAAAATGACAAACGTATTTGTATTAGTGTTTTATAATACTAATATAATAATAATATTTTAAAAATATATACAAATATAAGAATATTTTTAATGTTAAGTATAATAACACAAAAAATAAATGTTACTTTTAGAAGCGGATAAATATAATATTTGATATTGAACATTAGACTTTTGTAATAGAATAAAATCTCTATTATGAATCGTGTCGAAAATAAAATTTTGAGCAAACAAACCCGTTGGAAATTTTGTAGTTATTTTAGTTTTTGTAATTATTTTTTTTTTTTTATGGTATATATTGATGATACGAGGTGAATTCGTGACCGTAAGATCACTGGTTAATAAAAATGTGTATGACAACTTTGATAGTTTTATAAAATAAATGAATATTTTTATAAAAGTTGATGTATTATAATATTTGTATATAATTATTTTTTTATTATAATAGAAATTATATAATTATAAATAAAACGGACAAAAATAATAAAATGAATGCATTCAGTTGAAGCCGAATAAGTAATTGATTGTTGATTTCTTGTTAGTAGATAAAATATACTCCATGTAATCAGAAAGTATGCATATTTTTATTTTGGTTATTAATTACAAAGTAATTATTTGATTAAAAATACTCTTATTTTTTTTTTTACAAATATTCTTATTTTACTATCAAATTATTATTTTTATCCAAAAAGTAAGGAGAAAATTGTATTTACATTACTTTTAATTATACAATATAATTAAAATACTAGTAATATTTTTTAAACTCCACGTCAAAAATAAATATATACTACTTATTAGCCGGACAAACGAAGTATTATATATTTGTAAGAATATGTACTGTATTCATCGAAAATATAAAGAAAAATAAATTGCTGAATGAATACATTCAATATATATATATTTATTGAATTATACACTCTATTTTCTCGACATTATTTAGCAATTGCAATTTCCAAAACCAATAATAAATGGTATAAAATATTTTTTTACAAAAGTTAAAAAAAAAAACCTTTCAAATCTCGTTATAAAAAGTAAAATATTTATTTTAAAATAATATTTTATTAGTGCTTTGAGTATATATGTGTTTGCTTTTTGAACAAAGTTTATATATTGATATTATATTAATATGTAATAAAAATAAAGTAGAAACGACTGAAATATTTTTATTATTATTGTGTTATATAAATATAATGATATTTTTGTAATATATTATAATTTGTAAATGTATTTGTAATTTTAAGTAGATAATACAATGAATACCAAAATAAAAAAATGAATAATTTACTACACAATTTTTTCATATTACACATAAAACAATCAATTAATTTAAATATGCTGTTTAACCCGAACAATGAGTTTTCTTAAATAAAAATATTTCAAATTAAAAAGAAAATCAAAACTCAAATTAGGCATAAGTTCAGGCAAATTTTTGAAATTTTAAAAATTTATTTAATATTTTGTGATAGAAAAAATATACTACTTCTGTCCCATATATCGTGTCTGTATACACTGTATTTTGTATTTTATAGGAGATGTGCAATTAGTAGATAATTAAGAATGCATTAGTAAAAATAATTATCTATAATATAAATAATTATAAATTAAGATAATTAATTAGTTTAATTAATTTTTTTAAAAAAAATTAAAAAATTAAAAATAAAATTAAAATGTATAATCATTTTCTAAAAGACAGAAGGTGACGTGCTACGATAAGTAGTACGGAGTATTTAATTGTTCCAATTAAGTAAATTCTTATTTAATTGTTAATAAAAATAAGTACCATATATATATAACACATATGTATGTATCTCCATATACGGATTTAATGAGTAGGGATTTAAAGAAGAATAAAACATTCTTTAGCTAAACAAGCAAAATAATTAAAATGGAAGAAAGCATAAATCCATTTGTCTTTGCTTCCAAGTGACAACAACAACAACAAAAAATGTGTGATGTTGTTACCATTTTCCCCAATTATTGCCACGATTGGATTTGTAATTGTGCCCACGAACAACGATTGCTAACCCTTTTGATTTGATTTGATTTATTCATCCTGCACAGGAATTTCCGCCTCACTGTTGTTATTCAATTTGTCGCGTCGGCATCGACAAGAATCGGCGGAGAATTTCCAAAACAGCCGCAGACGGGAAGAGGATTTCGACATTTCTTTTTTCCTGATATATTTTAGGGGTAATTGAATGATCCCTTTTTGTTGTGCGATTCCGTTCGTTGAACTGATTTCAGTCTCAGAGTATCTTCTATGCTGTTTCTGATTATGTCTCGTTCGTAAATTTAGGTTATTCGGTGGTTATTTGAGCTTAATTTTGATGGAATTCTGACTGTAGTGTTCGTTCTGCAAACCCTAATTGCTTGGGCGTGCTCTCGTTTTCATTATTGGGGTTTAATTTGCTGCAGTTTTGGAAAGGATTCGGATCCCCAAAATGATATTTTATTTTATTTTTGTTGTTCTCAAATTTGCTGTTTATTTTCGTACTGTTACGTTTTTATATTTGATTTGTTTGTTTTTGGAGAATCTCTGCTGTTTAAAGCTCATTGGTTATGTGAATGGTCATGAGACAGTTGGTAATGGTAGCTTGTATTCATTTGTGCAGGTGATTTAAGACTTGGAAGCATAAATATGAGTGGGAAAACTAAGAAGAGAACGGTGGCCGAGAATGGCGATACAGGTGAAGATTCTGTTCTCGCGACGATGGTCAGCAATGGTGAGGATATGGGGCCGATGGTTAGGCTGGCATTTGAGACAGGAAAGCCCGAATCGCTTTTGCATCAGCTCAGGAACCTAGTGAAGAAGAAAGAAGTAGAGATCGAGGATCTCTGCAAGGTCCATTATGAGGAGTTTATTGTGGCTGTGGACGAGCTGCGAGGGGTTTTGGTAGATGCCGAGGAGCTGAAAAGCGAGTTGTCGAGTGATAACTACAGGTTACAGCAGGTTGGGAGTGTGCTACTCGCGAAACTTGAAGAGCTTCTTGAATCGTATTCAGTTGAAAAGAATGTTACTGAAGCGATCAAGATGTCAAAGAGCTGTGTCAAAGTGCTGGAACTTTGTGTGAAGTGTAATAATCACATCTCCGAAGGCCGGTTTTATCCTGCCATAAAAGCTGTGGATCTGATTGAGAAAAACTATTTGCAGCACATTCCCGTCAGGGCACTGAGGATGCTGATAGAGAAGAGAATACCTCTGCTGAAATCCCACATCGAAAAGAAGGTTTGCAGTGAGGTTAATGAGTGGTTAGTTCAGATCCGAAGTGCTGCAAAGGATATTGGGCAATCTGCAATTGAGTACGCTTCGTCTGCTCGCAAGAGGGATGAGGACATGTTGGCCCGACAAAGGAAGCTGGAGGAGCAAAGTTCAGTGGGCTTAGAAGAGTTCACTTACACATTGGATGTCGAAGAAATTAAAGAAAATGCTGTTCTGAAGTTTGATCTCACACCTCTTTATCGAGCATATCACATACACACTTGTCTTGGAATCCAAGATCAGTTTCGTGAGTATTATAACAGGAATCGGCTCCTGCAGCTGAAATCAGACTTACAGATATCGTCAAGCCATCCTTTCCTTGAATCCCATCAGACATTTTTGGCTCACATTGCGGGTTATTTTATTGTTGAAGATCGGGTTTTAAGGACAGCTGGTGGGGTTCTTGCCCCAGATGAACTTGAGGAAATGTGGGTAACGGCTGTGGCCAAAGTAACCGCAGTCTTGGAGGAGCAATTCGCCCGTATGGATCAGGCAAACCATCTTCTGTTAGTGAAGGATTACGTAACACTTTTTGGAACGACGCTCAGACAATACGGTTATGATGTTTCCCGGATTCTTGAAACATTGAACAGCAGCCGCGAGAAATACCACGAGCTACTTTTGGGAGAGTGCCGGGAACAAATTACATCCATCCTTGAGAACGATACGTATGAGCAAATGGTGCTGAAAAAGGAGTCTGAATACCAGGCGAATGTGCTTCTATTTCATCTTCAAACCTCAGATATAATGCCAGCCTTCCCCTACATTGCTCCTTTCTCTTCCATGGTACCTGATTGCTGTCGCATCGTCCGTAAATTTATCAAGGACTCTGTTAATTACCTGTCATATGGGGAACAGAGGAACTATTTTGATTTTGTCCGCAAGTACCTGGACAAACTCTTGATCGATGTCCTAAATGAAGCTATACTAAACACCATTCAGAGTGGCACCACTGGCGTGTCTCAGGCAATGCAGATTGCTGCTAATATATCTGTTCTCGAGAGGGCTTGTGATTATTTTCTTCAGCACGCAGCTCAGCAATGTGGAATTCCACTCCGATCCATTGACAGGCCTCAAGCAAGTTTAGCAGCGAAGATTGTTCTCAAGACCTCCCGGGATGCTGCTTATATCGCCTTACTGAGCTTGGTGAATTCTAAACTAGATGAATTCATGTCACTCACAGAAAATGTGAATTGGACTTCTGAAGAAGAAAACCCACGAGGAAATGAGTACATAAATGAGGTTGTCATATACCTCGACACTGTCATGTCCACTGCTCAGCAGATTTTACCATTGGATGCCTTGTATAAGGTTGGGAGTGGTGCGCTTGAGCAGATATCAAACTCGATTGTGGGAGCTTTTCTTAGCGACAGTGTGAAGAGGTTTACGGTTAGTGCAGTCACAAGCATTAACAATGACTTGAAGGCCTTGGAAGCTTTTGCAGATGAAAGGTTTCACTCGACTGGATTGGATGAGATGTATGCGGATGCAAACTTCCGGGGTTATTTGATTGAGGCTCGGCAATTGATAAACCTTCTACTGAGCAGTCAGCCTGAAAACTTCATGAATCCTGTGATAAGGGAGAAGAATTACAACACTTTGGATTATAAGAAGGTTGCTACTATCTGTGAGAAGTACAAGGACTCGGCGGATGGACTTTTTGGTAGCCTTTCGAATAGGGCCTCAAAGCAAAGCGCGAGAAAGAAGTCCATGGATGTGCTCAAGAAACGGTTGCGGGATTTCAACTGAGAGAGCTTGTCAAGTTTTTGTTTTATTTTTCCTCCGTATGATGGTTTAGAATTAGCTATTGAATTCCCAATATTCTTTACTAGAATCTAGTTTGATCTGTGGCTTTTAGTCCTTATCTGGTTTAATGTTGAGTTCCTCTTTATGCCTAGTTTTTTAAGTGATTGTCAAATTTTATAATGTTTACTGCATCTCTACGACAAAAAGAAAAAAAATCACAATTTTTGGCTCTGCAGAGTTAGCTTTCCAGTTTGTTTTTTTTATTCTTTGCTGTAAATTCGTCTCTACAAGAATTTGATCTTCAGGTCATGGAAATCCCTAGATTCTATTCCAAGATACATGTAGGGTTGGATCTGCTTTCACAGGACTGTCAGCAGGTGATCAATTTCGTATTACTTACTAGTACTCTGGTGATTATGGTGGGACTGAAAGTTGGTACATCTCCAAATTAGAACTTGAGAATGTTCCTGTTAAAATGGTTTTCGACAAATTTATTATAACCTATCGTTAGAATTGTCTTCTTTGGCAGCTCACCAAGCTATAGAATTGAGTTGGTATTTGATGATATGTGATACATTATTTGATGTTCATTACTCTTAAAATATAATCCAAAGTCAGTTTGTCTGAAGATCGAGTTTACCAATCTTGAAGCAAATGTATTCCTTCTCAGTGTGTTTTAACTCTTGACATTCAATATCACTTCATGTGGAGTTGTATGTACTGAATCTTGTTGTTTTGATTCGATTATTTGAGTCGGTGCTTCATGGTTTTGTAGAATTGATAACAAGTACGATGGGAAATTATGATAGACTTTGAAGGAAAATTATGATAAATTTTGAATTTAGTAGTTTGATCAATGTATTTGTATTGTTTAGACTTGGGAACAAAAACATGAACTATTATCACTTGATTTCTTGAGAATTGTGTTGAAACACATACTGTATGACTAACTCGAGCTAGCTGGAGAGGTTCGTTTCTATCGAACTTGAAGTGTTTGAGTCGAAGTTATTTAAGTAGTTGGATTTTGTGGAATTCATTAATGATGTTTCTCTGAGAGCTTGTGATTTTTATTTGTTTATGCAGTTCTGCAACCCCGTAACAGTTCTTATGGCTATTTTGTTTTAAAACAAAATATGTTTCTCTGAGAGCTTCTTTGTTTATTTCTTCTTCCATGGATTTTTGTTTTGCATATGTTTTAAAGAACACAAAGAAGCTTAATAGCTAGCATTTTTATTACTCTACTTGGTTTGTTCACAAATTCAAGGTATTGTTACATGTCCATGTACAAGCATCCGATTTCGATTATTGTTTACTATGTATATTCTCCTCTTTGGATTTGTGGTGCCATATTACCTTAACTGTAAAATATCTCATTTTTGGTACATATGTGGTTGTGATGGTAGGATTTAGGACAACTTCACTTCAAAAGATAGCCACAGAATGAGGGTGCCGAGATAATGATGTATGATTTACACACTACACCTTTCAATTGGGATCGAATGGAGGACCTATCTACATGTGGGCTGGTAATCGACAATACAGACTGGTATACACTTTTGATTGATTATTTTTATTTTTTATATTTATCATAGTTCCACTCAATTATACTACAACTAGAACTTTACCTCAATAGAGAATCTTGCAGTATCTAACTTACCTTTTTATGTGGATTGTCTTTGCGCTAGTTGATTGTTCCCGGCACAAATATTGCTTGGACTAGTTCTTGGCCTTAGGTGGACACCTCTAGATTGGCTCTGTTACTTAAATCTAACCCCAGGCTGAAATTGTTATGCTGATATACACTTTGCTATTAAAGTAGTCGATATTCAAATTATGATCTCGATTTTCTTACCATGTGAAATATGAATGAGGAATTTGTTTCCGTTGCCTGAATTCATATTCATATCTATATTTTTATCATTCAGCTTGTGGTCTTGAACATCATTGGGCATATCTACATTCTGGTATTCTTGTAATTCTTATTCCTTAAAACCCTTTTCTAGCTTGTTTATTTTGTGAAAATAAATTAGTTTTGGACGAAATTCATGACTTTTGGGGTAGTGTAGGGACTCACTGTCTGCCACACTTACATGAACTAGGGCAGACAGGACAGAATAAGCAATCTTGTTGATCATTGGAAAGGGTATTTATTAATTTTGTTTTCTTTACATTTCTCGTAAGCATATATGTCAGCTAATTTGACTAGTTTCTGTAACTCCATTAAAGTTGATTTCTAAGCCTTAGGACCATAAATTCCCAATACCAAAGATGATAATAACAAAGTGAAAAGTACATAGCAGAAGAAGCTGGGAGAACATCTTACCTTTGACCACATTAAAGATAGAAAAGTTCTAAAAAACATTTGAAATTCCGATGCTAGATATGTTTTGGAGTTTTGGAGAGCTTCGGAAATAGTAAAATATTTGATAAAAAATAGTTATTTAATGTTGTGTATGAAGGTGTTGTGTTGATGTTTTGTACAAAATAATAGTGTATGTAATATTTTAAATAAAACTTAAGTATTTGATATAATATATATATTATAATTAATATGTGCTGACGATGAATAGCACTAAAAGTAATTTGAAAACACATGTCATGTGTTTAATTGGTGATATATATTTTTTTGAATAGTGGTATGGATATGATATTTTGTTAAAGAAAATAGTTTATTTTTATAGAAATTGTAAGGGTGAATAGTAAACAAAAAGGCTATAATTGCTTCAAAGTTTGGACATAACTCATGTGCCATTGGTTCTCAACAATTAATCATTAGGACACCTTGTTTTGCTTGGTTTGATTTATGTTTGTATCTGTATTTGTGTATGCATAATGATTTGATGAGATATTTTGTAAGGAGAAATAACTTAAAAATTGCTTAATAAATAAGATATTAAAAACTTGCTATAAGAACATAGCCTAAATTAGGTAGACACCAAAAATCATACCTAAACTCTACACATTACAAATATCTTGAATAGGGATTGAATATTTTAGGTTTGGAAATCATTTCAATTCCCGATATGAAGCACACATCTACGTTTGTTCTTTCGTAGTTTGGTTTTGGTTTTGAGTTTGAATAGAAATTTGAATGTATCTATACAAAGAATTACAATTTAACCATAGTAAAAAATAAAAATAATTGAAATAAAACTTCAAAGAACAGAGCCTTAGTTATTATATCGAACCAAACATACCTACATGGTTTTAGAATGAATCTCTAACATCTAGAAGAGTCAGCCATATCCTAAATCATTACCCAACCAATCCATTAAATTTGAACTGTATTCAACTAATTTAAACACAACCCAACAAATGAAAGAGGAAAATAAGGGATGTCGAAGAATACTGTAGAAGTGTATACATACATATATATATATATTATATAGAATTGCAGCAATAAGATGATATATTGTACATAAGAATATCCCATCTGAAGGTTATATTAAAACCAGAAAGTGATAAGAGGACTGTGCCAATTGTTTTTTTAGCAAAGCACAGATCTGCAAAAGAGATACACCTAGGCATTGTATATATATATATATATAAATTATAACATACATAGGACAACACAATCACATGCTAATCAATTCAAAAAAGATTTCTTGTTTTTGTCCCCACAACACAAATAGACATGTGTCACTGCTTCACACTATTATTCATCACTATAAATGTATAAAACACACACCCCCTCCACCCCCACCCCTCCTCCTGGTTATAAATACAAGATTCCTTGTTTGTTGAACTCACCTTGAATATGGAGGAGAATGCAGAGCTAAAGAACAAAGCTTCTGAGATTGGAGAGGAGGATTTGAAACAGGAATATGGCGCAGGGCGAAATCAGCAGCTTGGTGGTGTTAGGACAATGCCGTTTATTCTTGGTTAGTTTCTTCTTCGATTTTTCTTGGCATTTATATATTTGCTGTTTCGGAGTTGGAGCATATATGTATATGTGTTATTTACATGCAATTATGGTGTGTTTTTTGGGATGGATGCTCAGCTAAATTTGATTTCCTCATGTTAAATTAGCTATGAGGTGATGAACATTCTTGGAACTTTGCATGTTTTTTAGAGTTTGATTTTTTTCTACAAAAATATATTTTGAATAGTGGTTAGATTTTAATCTTTGTGAAAAATAAATACCATACTTTTATTGGTTTTCTTGGATGAGAATTGCTTTTTGAGATGGTTTTTGTTGTCTTCGTTGATGATATGCATATTTTGAAGTCAGAATTATATATTACTATATGCAATTATATAAATTTGCTATCTATTACATTAATATGCGTTACTTTCTTTATAAATATTTGTTAATTATGTCAAATAAATACTACGTTGTTACATGTAATTATATAATTTTTCTATATTATATTAATTTATGTGACCTCATCAACATATACAAATAACATAATATTTTAACTTTTATAAATATATTCATTTTTTTTATACTTGTAAATGTCAAAATTAACTTACATATATTTACTAACCAATAAAATATTATTTTTTTAATCTATAAAAGAAAAAAAATGTAAACATTCGACTAGAATGGAGGGAATATATTGCAATAATTAGTGGTTCATAAAGACGTCTTTTTTATGTAGCACTTAGATATACATGTAGAACTAATTATGGTACATAACATGCTTGTTGAAATAGGATGTATTTCCTTCCTTTCAAATATGGTGCAATATCTTTTTTCTTGTACAAAAAATATATGGATAGTATCAAATAGAATAATTTGATAACCAAATGATATAATGAGAGAAAATTGTATTTATTTAAGTGATGTGATGAGATAAAGTGTAAAATAAAGATTAAATATATTTAATTATTTTATATTTTAGAAATATTGCAAAATGTTTGGGATATAAAAAAAAATATTACAAGATGTTTAGGACCGAGGGAGTATATAAATATAGGACGTGATTCAATAAGCCGATAGTTGTTAATAGTTGTTAGTTGATTCAATTAGCTGGTTTGAATAGCTGATTTAATTATATGTTTGTATCAAAATGTTTTAAAACAATTGTTTGATATTAACTGTTTACATGCTAAAATGACAATTGATGATATTTTTATTTTATTTTCTTCAAATATATTCAATTGTGTTCTTTTGAGTTTATAATGTTTGAAATTTTTTGTTATTAGTTATTGAAAATTATAAAAGTTTATAAAATAGTATTTATTTTTATTATAGTTAGATTTAAAAAATAATATATTTCTATTGAAAAATATAAATAATTTTTTCTATTGAAAATGATGTAAAATTTAAAATAATAAAATTTTCATGTATATATTTATTATGTTAATTATTGATCGGTTCATTGTATTTATATTTTCTATTTTGTGTTGATTTTAATAAATTAATATTTATTTTTTATATATAAATTATTTTATTTGTAAAATATATAAAATTTTAAAACTAAATCAAATAAAAAAAACAAAGGTTATTAATTTATTTATTATATATATTAAAACAATAATTAACATAATAAAAAATATATAAAAAAATTATTATTTTATATTTTATATAATTCTAATAAAAAATTATTATTTTTTAGTAAAAATAATTTTCTCACATCTAAATAATAAAAATAAAAATAAATATTTTATAATATTTTTATAATTTTCAATAATTAATAACAACATGGTGCTATGGTATATATTGTATATGACAAATATTGTTTGCTTATATAGCACAACAATATTGTATTATATAAAAGTATGTGTTAAAATTTATATGTTGTTTTGTATTGGATAAATATATTTATTATGCTGAAACTAATAATGCATTATACTATATGGAATTATATTATACTATATTTTGCCACTAAGGGTTTGTTTAGTTATAGTATAAAATTGATTTGAAATCAAATATTAGATTTAAATTTTTATTTATATTGTATTTTAATGTAACATTTTATAAGAAAATAGAAGTATATTTTTATCAAAAATTATACAAAGTAAATAATATTCCACCATTTCATTTGAAAGTGCTTTTTGAAATTTTTTTAGTAGATTAAAAAAATAATAGTATTTTATTTATCAGGTGGAAGTGCCTAACAAGTTTTTGACATTATGTAAAAATTAATTAGATATGCAATGGGATGTTTGTATTTTAAATAAAAATTAAGAGTATTATATTATTAATGTATAATTATTTTTACCTAAAAAAATAGATACCTTTAAGTTAAAGGTAAAATATATTCTGATATTAATGTATAATTACTTTCACTAAAAAAAATGATATTTTTCGGTCAAATGTATTATAGTATTAATGTATAATTACTTTCACTTAAAAAAAAAAGATACTTTTAAGTAGAAAGAATTATTAATTTGAATTTTACGGAGGAATTATTAATTTGAATAGTTATTTGATGGGATATAAATAGATATAAATAGATGTAAAATAAAATTTGTAGTATAATATAAAAAAAATAATTATTTAATATAATATTTTTTTTTAAAAAAATAAAAATTTGAATAATAAAAATTTATACTAAAATCCACAAAAAAAAAAAAAAATACAATCTAACATAGATAAATTCTTAACAGCGAATGAGGCATGCGACAGGTTCGCGGGCTCAGGCTTCCATTCGAACCTCATCACATACCTAACACAGATCCTCAACCTCCCCCTTGTCTCCGCCTCCAACACCCTCTCCAACTTCGCCGGCGCCGCCAGCTTCACGCCGCTCATCGGAGCTTTCGTCGCCGATTCCGTCGCCGGCCGCTTTTGGACAATCGTCGTAGGCTCCACCATCTACGTTATGGTTTGCCCCTCTCTTCTATCGTCGTCGATCCATAAAAATAATATTAGGGCAACTTCAACCCACTGAAAAAATGCAGTGGATTGTGCAAAAATTGGGGGAGGCCACATTCCAATTTTTGCAGCCCGGTACAATGCTACTCTATTTTTAGAGTAACACTGTACACTCCACTCCATTTTTTTTGAATGAATTTTATGTATTTTTGTTATTTTTTGAAGTATATTTTGTAATTTTATTTTTAAAAAGTGATATATAAATTTACTTTTTCGGAAAGTGATATAATTATATATATATTTTTAAATAATGTGTAATTTTATATGTTTGGGTTATAATGTAAAAATAAATCAAATATTAGGTGTAATTTATAAATATAAAAAGTTATACTACCTCCGTCAAGCCAGAAAGTAATCATATGTTTTTGCGCAATTAAATTTAATATTAAAAATATTTTTATATTTATATAGTTTACTCCAAAAATATAATTGTATTTGTATGTAAGAGACTAATAGATGCATTTTTGTCATTTTCTCTTTATTTATATTAGATTTTGATATAATAATTAATATTCAAATATCAACAGTATAAAATAATATAAAAGAGAAATATAGATAATATACTTTTTAAAGTGAAAATTAAAGTTTATGGTTGGAGTAGATCAACAGCATTTTTACAACTGCAAAAATGGAGTAACGAGTTGGAGATGGTGTTAGCATAACATAACGATTAACGATTTCTTCGCATTGCCATAGGGAATGATCGCGATCACGGTGTCGGCTGTCCTCCCGCAGCTCCACCCGCCGCCGTGCCCGACTCGGGTCGACTGCTCGGAAGCCTCCGGCGAGCAGCTTTGGGTGCTGTACATCGCGCTAATATTGACGTCGGCGGGGAGTGGCGGGATCCGGCCGTGCGTCGTGACATTCGCCGCCGACCAATTCGACATGAGAAAAACGACGAGAGAGTCGAGGAGTTGGAACTTCTTTAACTGGTACTTCTTCTTCATGGAGTTCCCGTCGTTGCTCGCCTTGACGGTCCTCGTTTACGTTCAAGACAACGTTAGTTGGGCGTGGGGGCTCGCGATCCCGACCATAGTCATGGCCTTATCGGTCGTAGTGTTCGTCGTAGGATCGCCGTTCTATAGAAAGATCAAACCGGCAGGAAGCCCGTTTGTCCGAGTTGCGCAAGTCGTGGTCGCGGCCATAAGAAAAAGGCGCGTCACTTTGCCGGAGAATTCTCACACTTTGTATGAAAACAAAGAGCTCGACGCCGATATCTCGCTCGACGGAAGGCTTAGGCATTCGGTTCAATTCAGGTAAGCTTCTGATCGAATATTCGATAAACATAACAAAAAATTCTGTAGTAGAAGATAATGAATTCATAGCATGAAACTTATTTCGTTGCCTATACTGCGGAAGTGAAGGTTTTTGGCAATAAATATGACTTTAGTAACGAAAAGTAAATTTTTTGCAGTGAAAGTTAAGAACAGAGATATAACTATGAATATATAATTTCGTAGCTAAAAGCCTTTTTGCTATGAAAATAGAATTTTCTAGCAATAAAAATTTTAGCGACGAAATTAATTTTGTAATAAATAATCTAATTTTACCGAAGAAAATAATTTTTGTTGCTAAATGATACGTTTTAACTACAAAAATATTTCGTAGTTAAAAATAGAGTAAACTGATCTTTTTGTCGCGTAACTGGATCCCTTTTTCATTTTAGTCTCATAAATGGAGTTTCTCGCAAACTAGTCTTGTAAATAAATTGTTCTTTTGCAATTTAGTCATCCGGCGCCGGAGAGGCCTACGTGGCACCCAAGGTAAAAGACACCTGACGGACATGTGGATTTTTATTTTTTTTATTTTTTAATTTTCAATTTTTTTTGACAATTTTTAATTTTTACAAAATAAGACAAAATAAATAAATTAAATTTTTTGAAAAAAAAAATTAAAAATTCACGTGTCTGCCAGATGTTGCTGACCTGACGGACACGTGTCATTTAGCAAACCACGAGAGTGCCACGTAGGCATTTCCGGTGCAGGAGGACTAAATGTGCGAAAATTTTTCACTTAAAATTAATTTGCGACATGCTCTAATTACGGGACTAAAAAATTAGTTTGCCATTAAAAATATTGTAGCTAATTAGATACTTTTTTGCAGTGAAATTTAACGTTTTTTATACATGGTGTTCGATCATATTAGTTTCTTCGATTCGCTTTGAATTAATTTTTCTCTTGTCTTTATGATTCTATGTAAAGGTGGCTTGATCGCGCTGCGATAGTAGGCGAAAAAGACATCGACGAGTCGAACCAACCGAAACTCTGGAGGCTTGCGACGGTCCATCGAGTCGAAGAGCTCAAAACAATCATCCGAGTGCTTCCAATATGGGCGGCGACCATACTACAAGTCGCGTCCCATTCCCATATAGGTAGTTTCACAATCGAGCAAGCTCGGACGATGGAGCGACACCTCTCGCCGTCCTTCCAAATCCCTCCGGCGACGATGTCGATATTCACGACTCTCACGGTTCTCATAGCGCTCCCTCTCTACGAGCGCCTCTTCGTCCCCATAGCTCGTCGTTTCACAAAAAATCCGGCCGGAGTAACAAGCCTCCAACGTATGGGGATCGGTTTCGGGATCAGTATTCTGGCAACTGTCGTTTCTGCGCTAATCGAGATAAAACGTAAACAAGTGGTGTTCGATCACGGCCTCCTCGACCACCCGACAGCGATCGTCCCTATAAGTGTCTTTTGGTTAGTCCCGCAACATTTCCTCGGTGGTTTGGCGCAAGTTTTTACGACCGTCGGACACTTGGAATTTTTATATGACCAAGCGCCTGAGAGCATGAGGAGCACGGTGGTCGCGCTGTATTGGATAGCGATCGCGGTCGGTAACTACGCGGGCACGATTATGGTCTCGTTGGTTCATAAGTATACGAGAAGCGGCAGAGCAGACTGGCTGCCGGATAGAAACCTTAACAAGGGTAAGTTGGAGTGTTATTATTGGTTAGTGACATGTCTTCAAGGGGTGAATTTGGTGTATTTTGTGACTTGTGCTTGGCTTTATAAGTATAAGTCTATGGAAGAGATGGTTGAGAGTGATGAGTTTGAGAGTGGTGATGAGAAAGGGAAGGTTTGATTGAAAGTTGAAGTTTGGATTTGTTAGTGATATTTAATTCTAAGTTTGAGTTATGAAATAATAAAAAATTAAAGTTTATATAATATATATAATTTTTTAGTTTGGTATAAATGTACAATATATTTTATGTTTTATTTAATATTTGAAATATTTTGTGATAAATTAAAATATGCATAAAATAGTTTTTTTTTTTTTTTTTTGTCCCAAGTTAATATGTGATTGTAAAGCACGTGATTATATAAGTTTTATACAAATAAAAGATAAAATATTTTAAATAATTTTATTGGGATAAAATAGATAAATATATAATTAATCAATCTTTTATTTTATATTTATTCTTTTTTTAAAAAAAATTAAAAGTGTGTTGTTTTGTGAAATAGTTTAAAAGCATGTGAGATATAGAAATATAAAAATAATGAATATGTGTAATATATTAATTTTTCTGGAGAAATATTTAAGATTTTTTAAAACAAGAAAACACCCTAAGTAACAATTCGTCTTTAGAAAACTATGAAATGAATAGTTGATAAATGTTATCTACATATTTATTTTATTAAAAAAATATTAATACATATTTTATCTTTTTATTTGTATAAAAATTGTATAATTATATATGTGTTTACAATCAAATATTAACTTTAATAAAAGAAAAATGTTTTTGTGTATATTTTAATTTATTACAAAAAAATCTCACATAATAAACAAAACACGGAATATTTTGTATATTTAAACTAAAATACAAAAAGTATTATATAATTTAGCCTTTTAAAAATTTTATTTTAGTTTTTATACTGTATAAAAAACACAATTTCAAGCTTATATATAAATAGTCAGGTTGTAGAGTTTTGTTTATGGCCCATGGCCCAAACCCTCTCGTGACCCAACCCAGACTTAACTTATTATTTTATTCTTTTTTGTGAGACTTGATATGAACCGTTGGATCATCTAGAGTTTAATTGTGTTCGTTGATTGTATTGGTATACATATATATATATATATTGGTGTGTTTGTGTACATCGTTATTCTCATTCTCACGTTATTCTCATTCTCACTTCTCTTTTTTATTATTATTATTATTACTATTATTTTATAATGTGAAAATCCGCGGCAACTATCCGAATATGCGCTTTGGATAAATATTCGGTCAAACTTAATAGGCTGCACATTAAGCTCGACAAGGCAAGTCATACTAGACGAACCATGTGTGACAGATGTACTTGAAAGCATAGACATTTGAACCAATGACCCCACAATCACAAATTCACTATCCCGGGACCACTTCTCCTTATTTTTTCTCTTGCGATTTGAGGTTTCCTCCTTTTGGCATTTCCTTATCTCGCTCTTTGTGATTTCTTCAAATTTTCAAAACGGTTTTGATGAAGTCTATTGTATCTTCAAATTTTCAAGACGATTTTGGTAAAGTCTGTGATATCGTTGGCTTCGGTGTTGTATCCGAATCCAATAGTTTATTTTTCTCTTGCGATTTGAGGTTTCTTTTTGGCATTTCCTCATCTCGATCATCTCTTGTGGTTTCCTCAAGTTTTCAAGAGGATTTTGGTAAAGTCTGTTGTATTGTTGGCTTCGACATTGGATTCAAATCCAATAGCTTGGTTTGTGTGTACTTGCCATCATGTATTTGATCTTAAAAATGTTCAAAATCTTGTCAATCCAAAACACAACGATCGAAATCAGCGAACGCAATCGAATCCAAAACAAAAATTCTTCTTAATAGAGAGATCGTAGTTGGTAAGATCTTCTTTAAGGCCAATCTTGGAGAGTAGAAATATGAAAAATATTGTAATTCTATCATTCCAACAACATTGATCGAATTTTTCTACCTATTCTTCTACAGTTGTGTTTTAAGTAATTGGAAACACTTTCTTTATCGTGTAGTTCATATGTTTTTTTAGATATTTGAAATGTGTAGAATTTAAGTATTTTGGTTTCGATCAAAATTTTAAGTTCTAAAGATTCTATTAAAAGAACTTAATAATCCAAGATATGAAAAGATTAAAAACTCCTTAGAAAAACCAATCAGGATTCGATTAGAAGAAAATCAAGAAAAGATATCCAGAAAGAGAACGCCTAGTGGTGTAGGATGAATTAGTGACTGTGAGATCATCAGTTCAAATTTTCGACACCTCTAGATCTTGTTTGTCATATATGATTCACTTAATGTGACAATCTTACCGAGCTTAGTTTGGAGTTTACCCAGTGAGCACTCAAAAGAGTCGCGACTCAAAGAATGATTCAAACGTTTACGTCTAACAACTATTTCATTCAAAAAAAACCAAAACCAAAATGCAAACACAAAAACAAATACAAAAAGTATACATATCCCAAAGATTTTATGATCTTCTTTAAAAAACTTTCGTAGATAAGTACTTAAGCATCCATAGTATATTCTTGTCAATCACTTGTGATCTTTCGAGCTATTTCAAGCACCGGCTCAATCAAGAAATTCTCGTAATATCACAGATTCGAACAGTAGGCTAATAGGATCAATTAAGAGTTATCAAAAACAAGAATTTTAAATCACACAATCATAAGAAACACAATCGAAAAACATACTTAAATCTTGCAGATTCAAACATTATGCCAAAAGGATCAGTTAAGAACCATTCAAACAAGAATGGTAAATCACACAATAGCAAGAAACAGAATCTCAAAACATTCTTAATTCTTGCAGATTCAAACATTAGGCCAAAAGGATAGGTTAAGAACCATCAAAACAAGGATTGTAAATCACAAAATCGCAAGAAACACAATTGAAAAACATATTCAATTCTTGCAGATTTGAACATTAGGCCAAAAAGGATCGATCAAGAGAACTATCTAAACAATGAATTTTAAATCACAAAATCATAAGACATATATTCGATTCTTGCCGATTCATACATTAGGCCAAAAAGGATCGATTAAGAACTATCAAAACAATGAATGGCAAATCACAAAATCATAAGAAACATATTTGATTCTTGCCGATTCAAACATTTCGCCAAAAAGGATCAATCAAGAACTATCAAAACAATGAATTGCAAATCACATAATCATAAGAAACATATTCGATTCTTGCAGATTCCGACATTAAGCCAAAAGGATCAATCAAGAACTATCGAAACCAGAATGCTAAATCCCAAAATCGTAAGAAACAAATCGAAAAACACATTCAATTCACAGACAACAACACAACACAAAACACCAAAAACAAAATCCACAAACAAGTATTTCATAATCATCATCGATGCCAAAATAAGCATTTCAATTCAATCAATTCATCTACCCAAAACCAATCAATCAATCAATCAACCATACCCCCAAAACATACTCACAATCAAAGTAAAAACAAGAGTCAGATTGATTTTACCAGAGAAGAGAGCGAGTAATCAAGTCGAAGAATCAGCATTCAAGGCCTGGCCGATCTTGCAGCACACATAGGCATCGATGCACGCATACTGCACCTGCGCCGGCATCAGCCACTGCTTATCCCACCGACTCATCGTCACACGCTTCGGCTTCTCCACCTCCCGCGACAGCACAAGGCTCGCGAGCCTTTTCACCCCGGCATTCTTCAATTCGTCCATGGCATACACTCTCGCCGCCAGAGACCTCAAATCGACGAAATTCACATCTAGATCCACACTGTAATCGTACTTCAACATCTCCAAATCTCTCTCGATTCCGACCCCCACGAATTTGTAGTTAGGGTTTGATAAAAAATTCCAGAGAGAATTGGGAATCGAAGGGCAGAAGAGGAGCTGGAAAATGAGGCACCGGTCTCCGTTGCTCAGCTGCAGCGTCGCCACCGGATTTTGTTCGGAAGTGTAAGAAGGACGCCACTCCATGTCCAGCCCGACGATGCGGCGGCCGAAGTTTGCGTCGATGTCGGAAATCCATTGGGTGAGGATGGTGGGATCGTGTGTGAGGGTTGTGTGGATGGATTCGTCGTAGAAATAGACAGTGTAAGTGTTGTGGGAATCGTAGGGCAGCTGGTGATCGGAGATTCGGAAGGGATTGTTGCTGTTCGCCATAGCCGCCGTTCGTCCGAATTTGAAAGGTCAGTCTGTAACAGCGAGTGGAAAAGGAATTACTATTTGTTTCTCAACCTTTTCATGTCATTCCTACGATAACAATATTATCTATTTAGGGTGTGTTTGTTTGAAGGATTTTGGTGGATTTCCACTATTCATCCAATTTTTTCCCCCCAAAAATATCAAATCAAACACCTATTTTTCATTTTTTATATTATACTAAAAATCAATTTTACATTCAAAACATCACATCAAAACCTATTTATATCACATCATACAACTATTCAAATTCAAAATTTTTACTATTCAAATCCCAATTCAAAATCCAAACCCCCAAACAAACACACCCTTATCATAAATATTTTTATAATTTATACGGAGTAATAAATTATATAATAATATTTTTTATATTATACTGTAATATTAATTTTTTTTTCTTTTATTACTATAAGTAGCTAATTTGTTTCATTTAAATCACTCAGAGTCACGTAATTTTAAATACAATATAATTAGTGAATAATTAAAAATATATTAATAAAATAATTATGATTTTGAAAACCGTCGCCCGAACGGTTACAACGTCTCCTTCCCAACCGTCTTCCAATCCTTCTCCTGCTGACACGTGTCCTCAGCAGACCAAAATTATCCCTATATTTCACTCTTTGAGCCGACCACAGACCTTCCGCCCTTTTGGCCCGACTGCCAATCTACAACCGCATTGGTCCGACTGCCAATCCTCCCGACTTGCAAACCATCTAACTTATTTGGATTAGCTACAGACCTTCCGCCCTTTTGGCCCGACTGCCAATCTACAACCGCATTGGTCCGACTGCCAATCCTCCCGGCTTCCAAACCATCTGAGATTAGGATTAGCTACAGACATCCCGACTAACAAACCATCCGACTTGTTGGTCCCACCGCAGAGTTCCGACTTGAGAACTTCCCGACCTGAAGGCCTCCCGACCTGCGGACTTCCCGTCCTGATGACTTTCCGTCTTGAGGACCTCCCGACCTGAAGACCTTCCGACCTGAGGTCTTTCCGTCCTGAGGACTTTCCGTCTTAAGGGCCTCCCGACCTGAAGACCTTCCGACCTGAGGTCTTTCCGTCCTGAGGACTTTCCGTCTTGAGGGTCTCCCGACCTGAAGACCTTCCGACCTGAGATCTTTCCGTCCTGAGGACTTTCCGTCTCGAGGACCTACCGACCTGAAGACCTTCCGACCTGAAGTCTTTCCGTCCTGTATTTTCCTTAGAAATATACCTATTTTCTTTGATTTCCTCACGGTGTCCTTCAACCAGTTCAATTAACTCTATTGCCAGACCCTTTTTTCTTTTTACTTGGGCTTTTAACCTAATTCTAAATTTCGTACATAACAGATTTAATTAAATAATTTTATTTTAAAATTAATATGATTAAATAATTTAATTAAAATAAAAAAACTATCAATTATAAAATTGTATTTAAAAAAAATAAAAAATAAATTAAATGAAAGGGACAAAAATAAAAATAATTAAAAAATTAAACAGAGGATAGAGCAATATAATAATAATATTAAAAAAATTATGCAAAAAAAACATATAATATTACGGACGGACACAGTATTATGTTTATATGCAGATTTTGTAACTTTGTTTATTTTTCATTAAATGTTTGTTTTGTTTAATTTTTACTTTGTTTACCTTTTTATTGTTATAAAATATTCTCTCCGTCCGTATGTCACATTTACATTTTTTATTATTATACTAAATATTAAAAATATTTTATAATATTTTTTTTCATTAGTATTATAATAGATTAATAAAAATATTTTTATAATATTTTTAATTTATACTATATTTTATATAATAATTAATATTTAAAAATCAATATAAAATTCATTGAACTACACTGATGATAGTACTTCATTTGTTATTAACTACATAAGTATATAATATTATAAATTATGTATGACCTATCAAAATTCATTTGTTTTTATATCTCTCAATTCCTTTGTTTCTATCTCTTTAATAAAAAATATATATTTGGAAAAAAATTAATTTTGGTCTAAATATAATTAAAATATATTAATTTTGGTCTCAATATAAAAAACTCATTAATTTTGGTCTCAATATAACCAAAATTTATCAATTTTAGTCCAAATATAAAAACTCATCAATTTAGTCCCAATATAAATAATTTCAATCAATTTTGATCCCATTATAAACAATTTCAATCAATTTTGGTCTCATCGTTAAAAAAAACTAACGGAAATTGCTGACGTGAACATAGCGGTGGTGACGTGGCAATTGACCTGAAAAATACAATTATTATCGTTTTAAGTAAAATTATGATTATTTTAGTTTCAATAAATATCTCCTATTATGAAATAAACTATATCATATTACCAATTGTGTCGAAACAGATATTCTATTAATAAGTGATTCAAATTTTATTATATAATTTTATTTTTTTTATTTATATATTATAGGTATATAATACTCCCTCCGTCCCAGATATCATGTCCACATTGTCGTTTCTGTCCATCCCATATCACTTTTCTTTTTTGGAGAATGATTACACACTTTAATTTTATTTTAAAATTTTTTTAATTTTAATTAAATTAATTAGTTATTTTAATCTTAATTTATAATTATTTATATTATAGGATAATTATTTTCACTAATATATTTTTTAATTATTTATTAATTACACTCCTTCTAAAATACCGTATATAGCAGACATTGTATCTGAGACGGAGGGAGTAGTACTTTTTAAATTTTATTATTATTATTTTTTTCACATCACCTCTCTAATTTTGTTTTGAATCTTTTTCCATTTAACTTTGGTATTTTCAATGAATTAACAAGACTCCTCTATAAAAGGATAGCCTTCACTTTACTTTTCCGTCGATGCCACACGACGTGTTTTGGTAAGAAAATTTTGTAATCTTTCATTTTTTATTTTTTTTTTATTTGTCAAATGTCTCTCAAATATTTGATCGTCGTCTTTTTTTTTTCGTCAAAATCTTTATATCATTTTATATTTTAAAAGATTTTAAATTTAATAATTTTTTTATTGACATAATTTATTTAGTTTTATTGCTAAATTTATTATGGTTTAATATGCACATCATATCTTCTATTTCAAGCATGTGCATAATTAAACATCATATTTTTTATTTTTTTTTTTTTTTTTTTTTTCAAATTATATCATTTTTAATTGAATTTAGGTAATTATTATTTAATGTCTACAAATAGATATACTAAAATTTGTATAAACTAAATCAATTATAAAAATCATTACTAGCTCCGTTCCGAAAGAAGAGTGATATTTACTTTTTGTAAGTAGATTTTTTAATATTAGTATTATATTAATTTATAGTGAAAAAGACAAAAATATCTCTATTATATTGTTGATATAAAAGTAACGACATTTGTATAATATATTGGAAGTTGTAAGAGTATTAATTATATTAGGTAGATAATGGGACAGATAAAAATGAAAAATAATATTTTTTGATTAAATCAATTATTAATTAAATCCAATAATTATTTAAAATCAAATCAATTTAAAATTGTGTATTCATTTTTTTTTTCAAAAAAAAAAATTATAGATATAATTATACTACTTAATATATAATTTTTTATTATCATGAATAGAAGAATTTATAATGAATATAATTAATAAATAATTAATAATATATTAATAAAATTAATTATAATATAATAAAAATTATTATATATTAAAATTAAGATTAAAATAATTAAAGAGTATAATAAATAATTAGATAAAAATAAATTTTAATAAAATTTATCTCTTTCAAATTCCGGGAAAAAAATAATAATAATAATAATAATAAAAGTAAAAATTACCTCCCGCTATCCACCCTTCTTCTTAAAAATTGGAACAAAACACATCAAATTTTAAAATTACTTTTATTTCCTTCCAAACCTTCAAACCAAACAGACTTTAAGAAAAATTAAACCAAACAAATATTTTTAATTTTAATAAAAGGGGAGGTGAGAGGGAGAGATGATATTAAAATTGTAATATTGTCTTTGTTTATATAGAAGAAAAGTTGAAAATAATGTAAATAAAAATAATAATTTTTGTATTTAATTAAATAGGAGAGTGAAAAAAAAAAAAACAATTTTACTATTTTATCTTATATTATATGAATAAAAAAATAAAAAATAATATTTAATAAAATTTGATTAATTTATTCATAAAACATGACAAAATGAATTTGTCAAATATATTTTATAATATTTTAAAATTAAATTAATCTAATTTATTTTAGATAATACACCTAAGAATTTATTGAAATCAAAATAAAATAATAATAATAATAATAATATTTTAACATACAAATAACAATAGATATAACAAAATTTATTTAACTAAGTTAATTATAAAAATTCATTCTAATATTTTATTTTAATTTTAATATATTTATTTGATTAAATTAATTATTAAAATTAAATAATTTTTAAATTGTTTATTAATTTTTTAATTATAATATAATTATAAACTACTTTATCTATAAAGTTTGTTTGGTTAGCTATTTGATTTGAAAATGTATATATATATATATACAATAGTATTTTTATTATCTAATTTATTATTTTTAATAATTTATCTATTTTTTTCAACAAACAACAACATAATCTCTTTATGAATTGCACTTTATTTATATATATATATATATATATTTCTCAACTTAATTATATGTTTTACAATTATATTTTTTCCTATCATTCTTTGTACCAAACTTATTTTTCAATAAAAACACATTGTGTATGTTTACTCGTATAATTTTAATTTTAAATTTTAGTTTTGAATAGTAAAATTTTAAATTAAAATAGGTATTTGATGTGATATGAATATGCATTGATGTGATATTTCGAATATAAATAAAATTTTTGTGTAATATAATAAACAAATAAATAATAGGTGTTTGATTTGATATTTTTAGAAAAAAAAAAAAATTAAATAGTAAAATTAGGATAAAAATCCACAAGTAAATAGATCCATTATTTTCTTTCACAAAACATCAAATCAAAATATCATTTAAAACAAAAACTCAAATTAACATTCAATTGCAAATCAATTTCAAAGCCTAAACAAACCCTAAAATTATCCAACCACATCAAAACAATGCACAAAGAAAAATATCCCAAACATTAGCCCGAAAAGAATCGATCAAGAACAACTAGTAAAATAAATAAATTTATAAATAAATTTAATACTCCCTTTTCCTTTTTAGTGACAAAATACTGCTCCCTCCGTCCAAGCAAAAAATATACATCTATTTTTGGCGCGAAGTTTTAAAAATAATAGTATTTTATTATAGTGGATAGGTAAAAGTAGTGTAATAACATTTTTGCCTTTACTTTTTTGGTATAAAAGTAATGATGTGATATAAAGTAGAGGTATTTGTGAAAAAAAATAGGGTATTTAATAAAATGGTTACTTTGTAATTGGACGTCCCAAAATAGAAATATATATACTTTCTAGCTGGACGGATGGAGTATTTTTTTAACTTTTTTTTTACCCAACAAAGTTAAAAATTTTATTTTTACTTATTTTTATTAAAATTCGTGCTCGGTCAAATGAGTACACAATTGGATTACGAATGAAGTAATTTATTCTTTTTTATTAAAAAAAACAACAATTATATCAAAATCAAGAATTGTAGTAGTAAACAAACCCAATCCAAAAACACATTCAGCACAACAATTGACACCAAAAATTGCACAAACTAACAAAACATATATTCCAGAATATTCCAGAATCATCTAGAAACACCAAAATAAGCATTTCAACAATTCAAAAGCAATCTATATACCAAATCAAAATCAAGATTAGCACAACAGTAAGATCAATTTCACATACGTACCCGATCGATCGAGAACGAAGGAGAAGAGCAATCAGTAATGGAGATCGATCAAATCGATGATCAAGTATCAGCATTCAAGGCCAGTCCGATCTTGGCCGACACGTAGGCACTGATGCACGCGAACTGCACCTGCAATGGCGTCAGCGACTCGCTATCCCAGCGACTCATCGTCACGCGCCGCGGCCTGTTCACCTCCTTCGACAGCACTACTCTCGCCAGCGTCGTCATTCCGGCGAACCTCAAATCGTTCATTTCGCACTCTATCGCCGCCAGATGCCTCAGATCCACCGAATTCACGTTCAGCTCCACATCGTAATCGTACTCCAGCTTCTCCAAATTGCTCCTGATTCCGATCCCCACGAACTTGTAGTTAGGGTTTACTAGAAAGTTCCAGAAAATGTTAGGAATCAAAGAACAGTGGAGGAGCTGGAAAATCAGGCAACGCTGGCCGATGCAGAGCTGCACCGTCGCCACCGGATTATGCTCGCTGATGTACGAATGACGCCACTCCATTTCCAGTCCGACGACGCTGCGGCGGCGGCGGCGGCTTTCGTAGCTTCTCTCGACGTTGGTTATCCATTCGGTGACGATTCTGCGATTGTTTGTGAGAGTTGTGTGGACGGAATCTTCGTAGAAATAGACTGTGTAGGTGTTGTAGGTGGGGTAGGGGAGCTGGTGGTTGAATATTCGCAAGGGAGGGTTATTGTTCGCCATTGCCGCCGGTCGCCGGAGTTTGGAAGGTCAGTCTGTAACTGTAACTGTAACTGTAAGTGGAAAAGTGATTCGTGCTGAAAGGTACGTACATCAATTTTTTATTGTTAATTTTTGAACGGTTATTAGTTTTAATAATTCGTTTGTATATAATTTTTTTATCTTTGAACATAATAATACTCATCATTTTGTTACTTTTTTAAGTTAAATTCAATGTATCTTTTTTTAATAAAATATTACAAATAATGCCATATTAATGAATTTAAATGTAAATTTATTTTTATTTATATTATTATTTATAAAATACTAATATACTAAATTTAAGTAAAAAAAATTGATATATGACATTGGAAGAAAATAGTAATAACAAATACTCCATCAGTCGGCTAGAAAGTATACATATTTCTATTTTGGGACGTCCAATTACAAAGTAAACATTTCATTGAATACTTTACTTTTTTCCACAAATACCCTTACTTTACATCATATCATTACTTTTATATATAAAAAAAAGTAAAAATGTCATTACACTACTTTTAACTACCCACTATAATTAAAATACTATTATTTTTTAAACACAGCACCAAAAGTAAATGCATACTTTATCGGTGGACGGAGAGAGTAGACACTTATTTGGTTGAAGATTTTTAAATGTTTTAAAAAATTTTGATATGATGTTTGGTAAAATAATATATATATATATATTTGATATTATATTTTTTAAAAAAAAAATTATTAATAAATAGTGTCAATAAAATAGTAAAATATATACATAATCTTAGACGAAGTAATTTAAATATTGATATGGATATGATGCAGATGAAAATAATGACTACAGTTGATATGAATATAATAATACGGTAAAATTCAACGTAATACTGATAGCATATTGTACACTAACAGACAATCCATGATATTATTACAAACATCATATTATAAAATCAAAATTTTGGAAATTAGCCTCGAAAAAAATTTCAGAATCAATTTCAATTCTACTAAAAAAAAAATAATATTAAATAATTTTAATTTTAATAAATTTGAAACCATTTTCTATATAATACTATTGGGGTGTGTTTGTTTTGGGGTTTGAATTTTGAATTGGGATGTGAATAATAAAAATTTTGAATTTTAAATAATTGTATGATGTGATGTTAATTGGTGTTGATGTGATGTTTTAAATTTAAAATTAAATTTTAATATAATATAAAAAATAAAAAATAAGTGTTTAATTTGATATTTTTTGCGGAAAAAAATAGAATGAATAGTATATTTAACTGATCATTGATGGTAAAACTCATCTGAAAAAGCCCAAAAGGAAGTTATTGTGTATGGAAGTATAATATTTTTCTCATTTCTTAACAAAATATTCATTTTTATTTTTTGCGTTATTAAATTTAATATAGAAATATCTTTATATTTAAATAATAATTTATATAAATATTATTGTATTTGTATTATAAAAATTAATAGGATGTTTTTATTTTCCTTTTAATTTGTACTACGTATGAATATATTAATACTCAAAATTTGAAACAAATATATACTTAGTTAAAAGATGGAGGTAGCATGTTACGTAAAAAAGTAATACTCCCTCCGTCCCGCAATTAATGTGGCGTTTGCTTTTTACACGTAAATTTTTAAATATTAGTATTATATTAGATTGTAGTAAAAAAGACAAAAATATCTCTATTAGTATTGTATAATATAAAAGTAATGATATTTGTATAATATAGTGTAAGTTGAAAGGATATTTATTATATTAGGTAGATATTATAATTACTAAATTAGAAAAATAATAACTTTGTTTTGAGATAGATGGAAATAAAAAATAACAATCTTTCAATTGGACGAAAATGAAAAATGACAATATTTCAATGGAACTGAGGGAGTATCATTTTTTATTGGAAATAGTATAAAGGTGTGTTTGTTTGAATTTCGACTTGAGATTTAAATAGTATCAAATTAGAATTGAAATAATATAAGATATAAATAAATTTTGATGTGATATTTTGAATATATAGTTGATTTTTAATATCATATAAAAATAAAAAAAATAAATATTTAATTTTATATTTTTTAAAAGAAAGTTTATATGAATAATAAATTTTGATCAAAATTCTTCAAACAAACACATAAATGTATAAAAAAAAAATGCCCATATGAACCCCCGAGCACACCATGTGATCCAAATGGTTGTTGACTTGTTTCTTTCCAAAATTGGCCTTTAAGACCTAAATATCTACGAAATTATTACAAAAGTTATTTGCTATATTTACCAATGAAAGATATCATTTTTTTTTATGAAGTAAAAAATGGGGGTTTTAAGTATCGATTTATTAATAATTGTTTGATACGATATAAATAGATATTAATTTGATGTTTTAAACGTAAAGTAAATTCATAGTATAATATTAATAATAATAATAATAATAATAATTTAATTTGATATTTTAGGAAGAAAAATCCGCCTTAAAACTAGGTTTTTTGTTTAGTTAGTACTTTATAAGAAAAAAATTAAGATGAAACTATAAAATATTGGGCCTTGATTCCTTCAAATAGGCGAAGAATCGAGCCAATTGATGTGCTCAACTCAACTCGACTCGCCTCAAGAATGGAGTATTTTTTGGATCAACAGGTCAAACCAATCGACTACAATAATCTCTAAATATCAAGCTCTAGCGAGACTAGCAGCTCGAGGCGCTTGCAAGATCGATCATTTAAGCAAGAAAACATCGGAAAATAGAAGAAGGCATCGACAAGGATCGTACCCAATGAGCAGTCTCGCAATGCAGCATCCATTCCCGTTGTTGCGACCTTCCTGCAACATGTTCGACATAAGGAGGAGATACATTGTTGTTAAGGCCGCGGAAAATTAGATAAGCAATATATATACATAACGTATAGATACAATGTGCCGAAACTTCAATGCAAAAAGAAAAACAAAACATTATTCGACTTATTCCCACAACAGCAAAACCGTGCGGTTTGAGAAATATTCGTCATCATCTATTCAAATTCAATTTTTTACTATTAAAAAATCCAAACCCAAAAACTAAAACTCACAAACAAACACACCCTAATGTTCTCTTTAGGAATTCTCACAAGATTTTTACTATTTATTTAACTTTTGCCCCTCAATAAATCTAACAAGCATTTTTTATTTTGGGTAAACTGTTTTTTAATTCCGTAACTGAACCCCTTGTAATTTTAGTCGCGAACCTGTCGCAAACTAGTTCCATAAGTAAAACAAATTCGCTGTTTTAATCCTCCGGCGCCGGAAACACCCGCGTGGCTCGCCGAAGGCCACGTGTCCGCCCGGCGGACACGTGAATTTTATTTTATTTTATTTTATTTTTTAAATTTTTAAAAATTTATTTTTAATTTTATTTTCTTTTTTTAAATCTTTTTATTTGGCCCAATTAAAAAAAATAAGAATATATATAAAATCCATGTGTCCGCTGGGTGTCACTGACCTGGACACCTGGCGGACACGTGACTTTCGGCGAGCCACGCGGAGCGTCTCCAGGGATTAAAACAACGAAAATTTTCCACTTATAAGACTAGTTTGCGACATGCTCCACTTACTGGGCTAAAATGATAAGGGGTACAACTAAAAAACGGTTTACCCACCCGTGGTTTGAAAATTATGCACCATTCTCCCTTATGATTTAAAAATTATATGAGACTCATGGCACAAAATCCCCTTTTTTAAAGGATTATGTACAATATTTTAAAAAATACAAGGGGTTTCATACAATTTTTAGGAGATTTTGTGCAATAATTTCTAAAATACGAGAAAGGCTTATGCAATATTCAAACCATAAAGGAATATAACTTTTCAAATCAAGTGAGCTATATGCAGTTTGGACAAAAATCAATTTTCAATTCAAAATATCAAATAAGCATCTATTTTTATACAACGGCCAAACAAAAATTCAAACTTTTACTATTAAAAATCAAAATCCACAAACACACAAGGGAACATAATTGTTTAGAAAATAATGTATAAAATCTTTTTCATGAACTTAACACAATTTTTCGAAAATTCAGTGCAATGTTTTATAAATCACGAGTGAACTTTATGCAAAACGCCAAAGAATCCAATGCACCATATGCGGATTATAAACAATTTAGTCGAACTAAATTTAAGAAGGTAACAAGAATCAATGGCAGCTAAATAAAACCACACACAAAATGCATCGTTACCCGAAGGACTCGAATTCGACGAGTAATTACCTCAAAGCATTCGAACTTCAATCATCTCCGGTCGGGAAGAGCGTAAGAACTTTGGTCTCATTTGCCTCCAAATTCTCGACATAAGGAGACGAATTCTCGTTCCCCATCCTCTGCTGAGATTGCCTCACTGCCGAATGATCGAATTGCCCGTTCATCCCCGAATTACCAAAGTGCCTAAACTGGTGCTGCACCACCGCCGCCATCGGGTGGTGGTGCTGCGGCGGAGCAGCCACCGGTAGATATGGCAAGAAATGCTCGGAACTCGGACGGTTGGGGTGGAGGAAATGTGCCGGGACCGGGGAGCTAGCAAACAAGTGGTCTGTGGCAGGATCAGATGTTCCGGCCAGGGCAGCGCCGCCTCCGGAAATCCCCTGTATACGCTTCAAGTACAACCGGTATTTCTGCAAATGGCTGGCGACGTTTTCTCTTGTCAGCCCGTCGACGCTCATCAGCTGCATAATCGTCTTCGGGACAGCGTTCTTAATCCCTAAATGTGCGACGGCGTCGACGAACCGCTTGTGCAGCTGTGGCGTCCAGACGAGGCGGGGACGCTTCAGTGTCCTCGCCGGCTCGTTGTCACCGCCTCCGCCGCCGCCGCCGGAGCTCATCTCCGGCGAATCGAATTCGGCAGAGGACTGCGGCGGCGGGAAGTGGAGGCCGGAGGTGGTTGGGGGATTCCGGCGGTGGATCTGATGCGGATTTGGGAGATTGAAAGCTAGGGCTAAATCAGGAGTGATCAACGATTGGGATAACGGCATCAATTCCTCCGGCGACGGCAATTCCTCTTCCCATTTCGCGAACCAATTCGAATCCTCCCTCATAGTTGTTGTTCTTCAATTTCCCCCAAATCGGAAACACAGGATTAGGGATTTCGAATCCAAACTACACCCCTAAATCTGCAACGAAATCGAATTCGGACAACGAAAACAGTATCAAAGTGCTTCAAATCGGATTGAATTTCAGATCAAAGCCATCTTCATCTTCAATTTCTTCAAATCGAAACCGTAATCAGCCGAAATGAGTCAGACAGCGATTCGAGACGCAGATGTAGTGTTCTACTATTCTTCACTCTTTTTTCTTTGTTACCCCCAAATCAGATAAGAAATTAGGGATTTCGAATCCAAACCACCCAAAAATACTTTAAATCTACAACGAAATCGAATTCAAACAACAAAAACAGGACCAAAAACACTTCAAATCGGATTGAATTTCAGATCAAAACCATTCTCATCTTCAATTCCTTCAAATCAAAATTGCACTTCGCCGAAATTGAGCCAGAGAGCAATTCGAGACGTAGACGTAGTGTTTGTTCTTCACTCCTTCCTTCCCCCAAATCAGATTAAAAAATTAGGGATTTCGAATCCAAACCACCACGCACCACAAATCCTCTAAATTGACAACGAAATCGAATCCAAACAACAAAAACAGCACCGAAACACTTCAAATCTTATTGAATTTCAGAACATCTTCAATTTCTTCAAATCAGAACCGTGCGTCGCCGAAATTGAGTCAGGCAGACGCAGAGCTGGTGTTCTTCTTCGCTCAGCCGCCGTCGGTGGCGCAGGTGATGATTTGGTCGGAGAAATGGAGGGGATTTTGTGGTGGGTGTTGCAAGTGTAGCTGCTGCGCTGCTGCTGCTCCTAAAAATGGGGTTGCTGTTTTATGAATGTTGTTGATTGGCATGATACGCATAAAGGGGGTTTTGCATAGGAAGATATGGCGGACGTGTGGAGAACACGCGCTGAATTCCTATTGGTCGATAACCACGCAGTGGTGACACGCTAGATTGCGATTGGTTGATTTGTTAACAGTACTATTTTGTAATCGGCGATTGGCTACAACACGTATTAATTTGGTTAAAGTACGTTTTTTTTTAAAAAAAAAATAATAATTTAATATATTAAATATATTTATTATTTTTATATTGACTTTCTTTATTGTATTTTTTTTTTAGAATGATTGATTTTTTTTTTATGTATAGTACGTGAGATTTGTATAAAAAAAGTATTTTTTCTGTAATTACTATGTAATAGTGTGTTTATATTTTCGTAAAAAGTTAAAAATATTTTGTATTAATATATGATTATTTTTATTAAAATATAAAAATAATATTTTCAAGTGAGATAAACAAAAATAATAAACAATAATTTTAAATTTGAACAAAAAAAATATAAAATATATTATTTTAAATTAATATTTGACTTCGTTTTAATTGATATTTGACTTTTTTTTAATTTTTGACTTTGTAATAAATATTTTATGTTATTTATTATTATTTTTTAGGAATCAAAATTTAAAAATAAAATTGGATGGCAAAGCCGTTATTTACATTTTTTTTCATATTTCTATATAAAAAAATATTCTTTAAAATTATTTACAAAGCAAATACACCTCAGGTTGAGTTTTTTGAGTTAGATTGTGGTTGATTTATTTAATTAATATTTAATTTATTATGTAATATGTAAAATTTAAAAATAATAAAAAATATGTTCAATTAGTTTATAATTATATTTTACTAAAATATTAAAAATATTATTTTATAAAAAATTAAATTTTATATAATATAAATAAATTTAATACATAAATATTTATTTGCAATTAACATAAAATATTTTACAAATAAATGTGAAAGTTTTCTAAGTTTATAAATATATTTTCATAAGAGAAAGATAGAAATAAAATATTTTGAATGAATTTGAACGGGTCTCGATATAATATTTTGAAAAAAAAAAGAAAAATGTGAACTCGGATTAGTGTTAACACATCTTAGTTAATGACACGTACTTAAATAATAAAAATTACTCCCTTTGTCTCAAAGAATATGAGACTATTGCCGTATATACGGAAATTTAGGTAAAGTATAATTAGTAAGTAATTAAAAAATGTATTAGTAAAAATAATTATATAATAAAAATAATTATAGATTAATATTAAGATAACTAAATAGTTTAATTAAGATTAAAAAACTTATAAAATATAAAAGTAAAATGTGATTAAAAGTGTATAATTATATTTTCAAAAAATAAAAAAACAAATTACGTGGGACGAATGAAGATAAAAAATAAGAATAAATTATGTTTGACGAAAAGTCTCAAAACGGTGATATGACACTTGACCAAGGGGTGAAAATTTGATGAGCTTATTGACTTTTGATTTAAAAAGATTTAAAGTAGAATATAAATGATTAAATTGTTATTATTTTATAGATAGTTAAAAAAAATAGACCAAATAATAATTATAGTGATACTTGTATAAATATTATGAAAAAATATCAATAGCTTTGTTATATTTATAAAAAAATATCAATAGCTTTGTTGTATAGTGAGAATCATAATTATTAAATAAAAAAAATATGACAATTTTTTTGAAATTGAGGACAATTTTATTTTAAAACAAAATTGACAATTAATAGTTTATTTTAAAACATGTTTGTTGAGTACAAATAATAATAATAATAATGGTAGCAGGGTTTTAAAGGAGGTCAGACAAGATAAAGTCGGGCGAAGAGAGATAAAACGGCCGATACGGAAGTCGGTCAAAAGATAAAGTCGGGCAAAGAAAGATGAGATGGCAGACACAGAGGACGGTCAAAATGAAGGTCGAGCGAAGAAAGATGAGATGGCAGACACGAAGGTCGGACAAAGAGGAAAAGTCTGTTAATTGGTCGGGCGAAGAAAAGGTCTGTTAGTTGGTCGCTTAATTAAGTGACATGTTAATCGTCTGATCGATTGACCGGTCACTTGGCCAGACAGTAGTTTAGTCGCTTGAAAGGGCGGTCAGTTGATCGCTTGATTGTACGACCAATGAATCGTCTGGACGAATGGTTGTTCGACCGATTGAAGGGACCAGATGGTGGTCGCTTGATTGGGCGACCAATGAGTCTTTTGGTCTTGCGACCAGTTAGTATCTGGATTGTCGGTCGGTCGAGCCGGTTAAGTCCTGTAATTGGCATGAGCGGTTGACGAGACGGTTAAAGACACGTGTCAATGGAGGAGGATTTAGTGGGAGGTTGACGGCGGTTGCTGTAATCAAACAGACGACGGTTCCAAAACGTTTCTTTAGGGAATATTTAAAGAGGGGGTTCGCAACTGGCAAAAACATCTTCAATCGACATCAAATTCACTAGAATTTCTTTTGGGGATCACCATTTACTTTTTCAGTTTGTAGTATTTATTTTCCTAGTTTACTTATGTATCGTACAGTGTCTAGAGATTCTTAATCTCATACATTTATTTTATCAAATTCGAAGATAATTTCTATTTTCATATTTTACTTTTTATTGTTGAAAAAATCAATCAACAATTCGGCGACCACAATGGGAGAAAGGCAAGATTGCTGATCGTACGTCAAGAGAGAATTTTATACCACTGAGGTCCGGCTGAATCATCAGAAAGATCCATATGGCAGGCTCACAGCCCCAAGTATCTTCAACACCGGCGGGAGAAACAATTTCACCATCTGCTATGTCGAATGCAAGGGAAGCACCACCAGTACCTACCGATTGGGTATCTTATGTTCAACAATTGAACAATCAGCAAATTTTGGTCATGCAAAATATGTTGCGTGAGCAACAAAACCTAATGCAAAATATGTTAGATCGAGCTTTATCAAGGGTTACTCTGCAACCCATCCAGTCACCGCCAGGGACGTCACCATCCAGATTACAAGAAAATTTTGCGAGGCCATCATATGTAGACAACACTCTTCCTGCCACTACTAGGGTTGACAGGGGAAAGATTCCTCTAACATACCCAAATAATGTTCCACTGGGTGTCAGAGCCGAACCAGCCTTTCCAAGAGAAGAAAGATTAGGAGGTCAGGCTCATAATCCCATCTCAGCCAAGCCAGCCTTCTCTAGGGAAGAAAGGTTGGGGGGACTGACTCATAATCCCGCCCCAGCCGAGCCAGCCTTCTTCAGAGAAGAAAGATTAGGAGGTCAGGCTCATAATTCCATTCCAGTGTATGATCATATTCCACCCAGCGTGGATCCAAAAGACATCGCTCAAGTTCTGCGGGTGCATTTCGGAATGAATCGCAAACGGTGAACAGGCCAGCTTATCAGAGGTCATTTCCAGAGAGAATCATCAATGAGCATCCCCACCCGAAGAATTATAGGCCACCTGATTTCCACTCTTTCTCGGGAGAAGATGGAGCTTCGACTATCGAGCACGTGGGACGTTTCACGGCTCAATTGGGGGAAATGCGCAATAATCCGTTTCACAAATTACAGTTGTTTGGATTATCTCTCACAGGAATAACTTTTTCTTGGTTTGTCATTCTTCCGCCAGGACAGTTACAAACTTGGGAAGGTTTGGAAATGGCCTTTCATGCAAGGTTCTTTAATCCTCTTCCGACAGTCTCACTTACAGACCTTCTGGAGATCAGGCAAATGCCGGAGGAGACCGCCTACCAATTCATAGAGCGGATACGATTAATGATGGGACGTTGCCCATCAATCATTGAGGAGAGCGAGATGACCAATTTTGTGGTCAGGAATATGCATACACGACTGCGGGAGGCTTTAACGGCCCACGACGTTAAAGATCTGGCCAGTTTAACATCCAAGGCAGGGAGGTTAGAATCCCTTTTTAATCCCTTTTTGGAGAAAATGATCACAACTTCCATCAAAAGGTCAGTGTCGATACAGAGATGTATGCATCAGACGATGAACAAGGGGAAGGTACTGAGAAGTGGGGCAGAAAGGATGGCTCCTTCGAAGTGGAGTTAAAGAAAATGGTAGTACGAGATCGACCACCGCGCAGGCCACCACCAGTCCGCGATAAATGGAGGTCGGATCAGAGGCTGACGTAGCCTCGGATGATGTAGGTCGGATCTGAGGCTGACGTGGCCTCGGATGATGGCCTACAAACTCCTAAACGTCACGAGAAGTGACACTTGGGAGTCGGGTGAGGCAAGTTGTTGAGTAAAAAAAAAATAATAATAATAAATAGTAATGTATAGGGTTTATAAATTGGATTGATATATAGTCCAATGGGCCTGATAATGGTAGCAGGGTCTTAAAGGAGGTCGGACAAAAGGAGGTCGGGCGAAGAAAGATGAGATGGCAGACACGGAGGTCGGTCAAAATGAGGTCGGGCGAAGAAAGATGAGATGACAGACACGGAGGTCGGTCAAAATGAAGGTCGGGTGAAGAAGGATGAGACGGCAAACATGGAGGTCGGTCAAAATGAAGGTTGGGCGAAGAAAGATGAGATGGCAGACACGGAGGTCGGACAAAGAGGAAAAGTCTGTTAATTGGTCGGGCGAAGAAAGGTCTGCTAGTTGGTCGCTTAATTAAATGACCTGTTAATCGTCTGATCGATTGGCCGGTCACTTGGTCAGACAGTTGTTCAGTTGTTTGAAGGGGCGGTCAGTTGGTCGCTTGATTGGGCGACCAATGAATCGTCTGGACGAATGGTTGTTCAGCCGATTGAAGGGACTATATGATGGTCGCTTGATTGGGCGACCAATGAGTCTTTTGGTCTAGCGACCAATTAGTATCTGGATTGGTCGGTCGGTCAAGCCGGTTAAGTCCTGTAATTGGCAGGAGCGGTTGGTGAAACAGTTAAAACACGTGTCAATGGAGGAGGAATTGGTGGGCGGTTGATAGCGGTTGTTGTAACCGACCAGACGACGGTTCAAAACGTTTCTTTAGGGAATATTTAAATGAAGACGTATCAGCAG